GATTGTTCACCAGCCGACGCAGAGTTACATAATGAAACAAATAAATAAACCAGACGGACCGGACGGCCGCCGGTGACCGAGGCCTAATTGTCCTCGCGACCTGCATCCTCCGATCGACAGTAGAAAAAGACTTAAACGCGTAATTTAGCGCTTAGATAATAAATTTCGGATGCGTTGTGAGAACGCGAGCTGCCTTTTTCACACCTTTCATATATTATAGCATGTTGTGGCACTTTTAAGGAGGCCTCCTTTGTCCACTAATGACTCTATTATTTATACAAACCCTTTAACACACATGCAAATTGCGCAAACTTGGCTCCGTTCCGGCCACACACGCAGTATATAACAAATTTGAAAAATCGCCAGATGAGATAAAATTTATTTAATGCAAATATTTTACAAAACCAAACAATGACTTCACACTTCTTGTTGTTGTTGGCAGTTCAACGGAATTTCAATTTGAAATGAGCACAATAATAAATCTCTCTTCAAAGGGAATTTGTCGATATGAATCTTCAAGTTTTTGCATAAAACGTGAGGAGCAAATAAAAATTTTGTTTGCGTGATTCCCTTATGAGATAATAGCTCCATTAGAGAATAATTACTTTTATATTAGTGCAATATTAGATAAATATTATTAACCACATTAATCATTAAAGTTATCTCATTTTTTCGACCTTTCTTATTTTTAGAGTCATAAAAATTTGGCAACCAAAATTAATATAATTTGTCCTGATTTCCCAGTGTGGAGGTCAAGAACGAAACTTCGACGAAAATAATCAGTTACAAACCGCAACTGATGTTCTCCTCTCAGTTTTTTTTTTTGCCCAACAAGGGCGACACACATATTCGAGAGGCACGCAATCCATCTCCTTCCTTATGGACGAGAGAAGTATTTTTGCTCCTCGGGCCACACATTTTACGAACGACCTGCTGTGGTCACTCAAGTTTTCGCCCTCGGTTCGTTAGAAAGTTTTGTACCACTTTAGGACACTTAGCTAATAACCAAATGAGCACGTGTCGACACTGTACAGAAATTAATTAAGGTACGCCAATAGAAAGGATCGAGGGTAAAATAAATAGCAAGAGATAGAAAAAACTTCTTGTTTCGTGGGCCGGAGAAATTTATTTGGACAGGCGGATGTATGAAGAGAAGGAATATTTTTAATGGGAATATTTTAAGTGAAATTGGTGACCTTAGTTAAAAAAAGTAGCATACTCTCATAAATAATATAACAAATAAAGCCATAAATTTTTCCTTATGGGGAGGTGAATTTGAATTCCACGTTCATTCCATTAATCACTTGTAGAATGCAAGTTATACATTATTTTAATTTATGGATCAATTTATTGATGACCCAAAGACGTTCGTAATAAAAGTTTATTAATAAGATTGTTAAACTGTAACTGCCATATCGCTGCAACAGCAATATTTGAAAAAATTATGGCTGAAAATTTTTTTTCTCCAAATAGGGTTAATATACAAAAATACAAATTGATTTAACAATTTTACAAAATATATTTTATAAATAATAAAAAAATAATAATTAATTAAGTTGTAAAAAATAAAACAGAAATCATAGTATCATAGTAATTAAATAACAAATTTATGCGTTTAAAAATCACCAACATAAATAAAATTGTATTTAAAAAAATGCATAACTATTTAAAAATTATTGTGCATGTTTATTTCCATTTATTTTTTTAAAACTGCAATCAGGCTTAAAATCAAACGAATCAGAACAGAAAAGTAAATTTTTAGCGAAAGACCGCAAGAAAGAGGAAACCGTGCGGTGGCTTTTCATTTTTGAGCGTGCTCTCTTCTTCTGGGTACACCCGATGAAAAAAAAGAGCGAGGAGGAATGAGCGTAATGATATGCAGGCATCAGGCTTGGCTCTGGTGACCCTGTAAGCATCTCGTTTGGCTAGATGTGTAGCAGCAGCAGGTGCCGTTAGCGCGTCTGCTCGGCGTGACGTCACCTTTCTCGGGCTGAAATTCACACAGCTTCTCAGGGCCGAAATATAGGACGTTTAGCGGTGCGCAGTACTAACCTACAACACTGCAGTTATGTGACACTCGATTGATAGATCCGAGTGGAAAAACGAGACGCCAGACGCAGTCCTTCCTGCGAAAGGTCAATCTGCCAACCGGCCATTCATTCAACAACAATACCGCACTTGTTCTTGTCAACTAGCGGTGCATTTTCTTCTTTTGTTCTCCGTTCTTCTTTTTTCGCGATTCTCAGAGTTATGCAAAAGCACGAGACCGCAGGAAGCTGTGGCGCCTCTGGGCGTTTCCTTTTTTGACGATTTCACGGTCTGAGATGCCAGAAGAGAATAATGTATTTAAATGCGCTAACAGGGCGGCCCGAGCTGTTAGGCTAGTTAATTATGGTGGTTGTAAATGATATGTCACGTCCAAAGAGCCAAGTGGAAAACCTCCATTCTTTTATTAAATGATTTAATTTCTTGAAATAAACATGCAAGATGTTTTTGTAAAAAAAGAGCACATCAATAAAAATAATTCCGGCTTGGTCTGGAATAAAAGTAATTTTCTAAGGTCTCAATGTAAATAAAATAGCTAATATTGGATATAATTTAATTTTGATCCTAGCTTTTTTGTCCTCTAATAATACTTTAAATCAAGGTAAGAAAGCTAATTTTTTCCATATCATAGACTTGAATTTCAGGGTAAATTTTTAATAACTTCAACTGTAAATAGACAATTTTTCTTAAAAACTCGTATGTTTTAAATAAATTTATACTAAATTTAGTGAAAAATTAAGAAATTCTAAAGTTATGCCAGTATGTTTAATTTGAAAAACTGCTTGGAATATTATTTTATCTTCAACAACCAAAATTCTTTCCTCTCCTGTCAAGGTGAATACAGGTGGCGAACTCCTTTTAGGGAAGAAATTAATTCAGCTTTGATAACAATGAGGAAGGCTAGACGAGAGATCCGCCCTTTTGCGTGATTGACGGCTCAGAACAATCTAGTTCGAGTTAAATCTCAATTGACTGCAGACCTTGCATCTCTTATTTTCTTAAGTTTTGATCGATTTTCAAGACCATTCCTCTACGCTTAATCATCCGCGCCCATTTGTGGGTGGAGCGCTTTGAAAATAAGAGTCACTGCAATTCGAACGCAAGGTCAGGTTGTTGGTTTGTGTGCAGCAGACGTCGGCCGGCCGGACACGGCAAAAAGAGAGATTTTCCGAGACACGCCCTGCTCAAGGCCTTGCTGGTCTAATTAGATCTTGTGCGAATTGAACGGGGTGTCAATAATAAAATATCGTGAACATAGAATGAGAGAATAAAAAAACAGCAGGGGCATTGCGTTGGAACTATCAACTGAAACTATCTGAATAAAATTATTTCAGATCGTTGTGCCAAATCTGCACGTATGTGATGTAACTTTAACGGCGAATTGCGCTCGGAAGAGATACATTTTTAACAAGATCAGTAGGGACGCTAATGAATTAATAACGCGGCTGCGTGTAACTCGCGGTAAGCAGCACTTCCGCTCAAATTCTTTTTATTTCGCTCTTGATAACGAAACTGTTACTTTGCCCGAAATAAATAATTGGTTTTGCTGTTGAACAATTCTTTTTGTTCCACATTACTACAGGAAAAAATTATAAATCGGCAGATAAATACGTGATATTCTAAAGTTGCAGAAAATACTTGATAATATCGTAATTTTATTTTATTATTTCTTTCACAAACAGTAAAACCAGTAAAAAATCATAACTTTTACTTCTACTAGATATATATTATGTGTTCATAAAACGGTTTAAAGATACCAAAATGAGACTATTTTTTCTGATGAATTGTTGCAATTAAAAAATTGATTTTGGGAGAAACCGGCCACAGTTTCCTATTTCTAATCCAGCAGGAAATATCAAATATGCAGAATGAGAAATCTGCCAAAACCGAAACTGGAGCTGGTGGACCGATTCGAATTACCTGGCCGATCAATCAAGGTGATCAAACTTTATGGTGCAAACAAGAACTTTCATTCTCGATCGGCACAAGCGCGCCCCTTTCTTCGGTCGGCAGCTTATGGAAATTAAAAGCACACATTAAGAAGTGCCCAAGCCAGAGTGAGAAAGAAACAGACTCGCTCGTACATATGTGTCTGGAAAACGAGACCTGCAACCACACCCTTGCCAGCAGCTTTGGTGAAAGCAGTCCATTGAGCAGCAGAAGCCCTTGTGATATTAAATCCACACCGTCATTTACATTCAAAGAAAAAATCCTTCTCTCTCTCACATGTGATGTGGCGCTAATTTGTTTGTCTGCTGATGCATTGCGAGCGATTGTTTCCGTTTTCTTTCGCGCGCTGATTAACTTAGTGAAATTATTATATATTTTCAAAGTTTATTCCACCCACAACTATTGACTTTCAGAACAGGGCGTTTGCCGGTCGTGTCCGGTAAATAATTGGTGAATGTAAATTCTTTCACTTTCTTTCTTTCTTTGTAATTGCACTTTATATTATTTTTTTTTTTATTGACAGCGTCTGAAGTTTTGATCAAATTGGCATTGGAGATTTCAATGATGGAAAAAAATGTATTTTACTTCTAATTTTCAGTTAGTAATTTTTTTTTACAATACTTTACTTTCCCCACAGATATCTTTCAATTTGATTGATGGCCGAGATGAATCTGATACACCAACAAGATCTGGAGCAAATTTATTACATAACAATCGCGGATTTTTTCCTAATTGGCCGATAGAAAGTTGATGGAGCAGCAAAGCTTCCTCGTCTCTCGTCTAACTCGTAATTAATTTCAAGTCTGCTGCAGAATTAATAATCCTGCATATTAAACCGGGTTAATTAGACAGACGTACTTATTGCCTCAATAGGAAGTATCTCTCGAGCCGTGCATAATTTGCATTATTAAAAACGAAAACAAGTGCACTTTGTTCCTTTGTTCCTGCCCCTCGTTTTTGACTTGTTGTGAAATAATTTATTTTACTAAAAAGGTACTACTCACCGTTACTGCGAATTGCTTTTAGTCGCATCTGAAAAAGGCCGTTACAAACAATTAGCAAAATTATCTGCTTTCACCAAAACAACGTGAATGACAAGTGATATTGACGGGATTTTAAATGGAAATTGTTTTTTGCTCTTGGACAAAAGAAGCAATTTAGCTCTTCAGACGTCAAGTGGCAAAAAGTATTAACAAAAATTTGAGATGAAACACTGAAAGATTTGCAAGTTCATTCTTGTTGCAATATTCAAATAATTTTAATAAATAAATGGAATTTCATCTCTTTTTAAGATTTTTTTTTTTAAATATTTAACCAACTTCCGTGGGTATTTTTTAAGCTTTGAATGGTCCCCTGGTCTAGACATCGTCGCCTGCTGCGAGAGATCAGGAAGTTGGCGAGTTGCTGCTGGAAATACTGCTTTCGCCTCGCAATGCAATAAGTCATGTACCCCTGGGCCAATTATTACCAACCACTTAAACTTGTTGTTGCACACGGAGAGCGCATAATAGCACCTCCTTTTCTCAAAGGCCAAAATTTTAATCACTTTCACCTTTCTAAACTTATCGCACCTGATAAGTGGTGTGATAACAGCCTGGAAATTGAATTGTCACCGTGAAATTTAATTTATGCGAAAATATTAAATATTTAATTTGATTCCATAAATGCTGTTTATTTTACGATCAAAACAGAAATCTCTCGGCATTTCAAGAAAAAGTAAAAGTCCTCGGGCGTCATTAATCGCGCTCTTTAATTTCCAACACGATCAAAATGCACTTTCCTCACTTCATTAGCTAATAAACTCGCTGCCGGTTTTGGCCAAGAACGCGTGTGTCGCCAGGAGAAACTTTTACATTTTTTTATTATTTCCCTTATCAATCACAATTAGAACCCACGCAGGCAGCACGAAAATGTGTCGCTCCCACACAAAAATCGGTCGCGCAGAAACACTATAAGTTTTAAAATCAAATCATGCAAAACAAATGAACTTTGGAATTTTATTCTCCATCCATTCAAGTGCTGGAGAGAAAAATATCACCTTATGCACGAGGCTGGATGTTTTTTCTGTGGAAAGTAAATTATAAAGCTGAACTTTCATGAAACAAGTGAAGGGGAGCTGACATTTCATTTTTTTTTTAATAATTATCACAAAAGTTTAATAAAGCAATTAAATATTAATTTCACTAAAAATGAGATAAAAAAATTAATTGCCTCAAAAAGACCTCAAAGCAATTAAATTTCATAAATAGTAAAATGTTTTTTTTTATTAATCCATTGTTTGTTTTTCCAATTGTTACAAAACATGAAAACCTAATATTCATAATTATTCATTGTTAGAAAAAAATGGATTGTTGGACAAAAGAAACAAACACTAGCAAGAATTTTGCTGAAGTTTCCAAGATTTAAAAGACCCAATCCGCTACGCAGTGAGTTATTTTTATTTTTAAATTATAACTATTATAGTGAATTGATTTTCCAACGCATAAGAAATTTGCAAGTACAGGTTGAGCCACTCACGAAGTTGTGAGTAATCAAATTAGTTGGTAATAGAATTTCCGCACCTCCGGCAGGTGCGAATGGTACGTGTGTTGTCAAAGGTGAATATATTTTTTTTATCCTTCCCATTCTTGTCATTTATGGGTTAGGAGGTTAGGCGCAGAGATGAGAATGAGTGAGGCCCAGGCGCGGATGCTCTCACTATCGCGCATTGTCTGCCGCCGCATCCTCCGCGGCCGATTCTCCCACGCACTAAACTTTGACAAAACAAAAACAATAAAATAAAATTGAGGCGCCACAAACGTCAACACAACTCACAATTATTACATTGCAATGCACGCGATAAAGGCTGCTTTTGTTTGCAGTGAGTTTGCATTCCCAGTGTCGAACTTTTTTGCGCGAACGGTATTCGAATTTGCCGAGGGAATTATTTTGACCACCGGACACGTTTTCGAACAACTGTACTTCTTTTTCTTATGGGAGAGTTCCTTGAAACAAGGGGATTATGCAAATTATGTTTTCTTGAGTGAAATTTGTGTAACTTCCGATGGAGTTATAAGAAATGGGACTGCGTGCGTATGTGACTTTCAAATCATCTTGCAGAAGGTGATGAACTCGCCAAAATATCAAAATAATATGATGTACTCAATAGTATATGAGAGAAATAAAAAGGTCGCAAGAAAAAAAGGAACCTAGAAAATATAAATTTAAAAAAATTCCTTTTTTTATAATTTTATTTATATCGACTTGATTCGGACTAATATTTCAAAATGCCATCTTTTTTCTAAATAAATCATTTAAAACAAAATTGATGCATCAAATTACATCAAAAATTTGTTTGGGAGAAATGTAATTCATACACAAAATATTAGAAAAATAATAAACTCCAAAAGATACAACACTGCCAGAATACACAAATAATTTAAATTTAAAAACTTCAGCTACTTCTTTTCCTTGTACTTATATTTTGTATTAGATCTTTGGATTATAGTGATTATAATATTTCATTACTTTCATTACACAATAAAATGAATGAGTAAATTTTTAAAATAAATTATCTTATTAACTATCTAAAAAAAAAATACTACATTACAAACATTTTAAAATATTTAAAAGGCATTCAAAACATTTTCCCGCACATGACTTGCAAAATTTAAAAAAATGATAAATGAACTTTGCAGAGTATTAAATATGAAAAACAAATGCCCGTTGGCACAAGAAAGTAAACAATCAGTACTAAAAATGCAACTCCCATTCCCATCCTATCGTGCAACTGATCTAATCACAAAAGCGCGCGTTACAAAATAACTAGATCTGAATATATGAAACCTTATATTTATTTTCTTTTTCGCCCACGGCCGTGCAATCAAATGCAAATTGAACGTAGAAAGCAAACCAATCATTTCCTGGACAAACCCCTGTTATTGCCCTAGCGTTTAGTAGGCCAATTTGATCTTTTATCCCCGCCGCGTGTTTATCTTTCTTTTTTCGGAGAAAATAACCGTCTCAAGAGCAACCGCGTAATTAACGCGCGAATTATGAAAATTACGTCAGGCGGCTGCGGTTGAGGTAACTTTTATCTCTCCGACGTTATGCGCGCACTTTTTGGCCCAAATGCGTGCGAATTGGACGAAAAATTTACCCACGCCTTGAAAATAATCTGCAGAACGCAGAGTCATCCTTTAGAAGAAAGAAATAAAATTCCTCCAATTGTGTAACTGGACATTATGTGGTTTCTAGCAGTGTAGGTTATACAGATTATTAAAAAATAATAAACAAATAATATAAATTAGACACAATTAGATGTAATAATAATTTAAATTTAAAAAAGCAGTGGATATCAGCTGAAATTTGAATTTGTCGTGGAAAAAAAATGTTTTTGGGTGAATTTTTATTTTTAATATTTCAAATCTCATTTTAATTCAATGAAAAAAGGAGAAAATTGGATATATATTTTAAATGAAAGAAGAACAGAAATGGTTAGTTAACAAAAGTAAATTAAAATTATAGACGGTATACTAATTATTTATAAAATTTTAAATTTTAAGGGTTGGCAAATCATTAAAATTGAGAGAAAGTTGAGCTTTATGAAATTAATTCTAGCTCATCTGCTGAAGGATGATTGACTTGCGTGCGTTATCTCATTGCGTAAGATTGAACTCGTAAATCAATTAAAATGTTTAAACTCTGTATTTGAAACTGCGGCATAATTATTCCAACCTTTTGTGTTTGTTGGGTTAAGAAACAATCTTTCTTTTTCTCCTCTCTCACATTCCTGCCGCATTTTGTAATTAATTGCGCACTTATTTTTTTTTCAAAAGAGCGTGCGACGAGGAAAGCCACTTATGAAACGGCGTACAGCACATTTTTCAAAGAGAGGAGGAATTATAATGGTATGTCGGTCAGCAGCATCATCAAAGGAGCGAATTTCAATTGAAAGGGTGCGCACGCGAATGTAGGCCGCGCCGCGGAAATACCTGCCTTGCTCTGCACCTGTCCGCCACTCGCAGGCGCAAAATTGCCTCTGCGGGCAGCCGCCGCATGACAATGCCTCGCTAATTGTCTGCCTGACCCATTCTGACTGCCGGCAAATCGCGAAATATCCGCGCCTGATTTATCGCCCATTATTCCTTTGAGGAGAAAAAAAATTGGGAACGAGAAAGCAAGAAGAGAAGATGTTTGGCGGACGAGACGAATTGCAAAACAAGCAAGGTGGTTTCTCTCCACTTCATTTTATGTAAAATTTATACGCAGGTGAAAATAAGAAGTGGCCAGGATGTTAATACCGTTTATATGTGAAATTTCAATCAATTTTTTTCTTACTAAATCATCAAAAGAGAGAAATTACAATACTAAAATGTCATTTTGCAAGGCAGCTTCAAATGAAAGTAATGCTTAAATTTTTTGATAATGAGAACAATTTATAATGAATAAGAGTAAAACTAAATAAAACCTTTTAAAAATGAATTTAAAAAAATTAGTAAAAAATCATTATTAATAGAAAAATTAAATCTTACAACTTTAAATTAAATTACACAAATTGGTAAGAAAACAATTTTCTGTTATTTCGATCTTTTAAAATAATAATTATATCTTAGCTCCACTATCATTATTTATTTTTATACATACATTTCATTTACTTCAATCTATGCATATTTTATCTTATGAAAATTATATTTCATATGTTTAAAACAAAAGTGGAAGACTTTTGGCATTTTTGTCAACATCAGATATTAAATTAAGATTTGTTTGTTAACTCCAAAGATAAGCATTATTTATTGAATTTTGAATAGCCAATTTATCTCAGAATAGAAATCAGCATTGACGCTGCATTCAATCTTTTGTTTCCTTCCAAAATCGAGACAAAAGCAACTTTACTCATGTTGATGAAATCAAACAAAGTTGGCATTTAAGACTTTTAATAACTTCAATCGAATCATCATCATTTCTAACCTTTTGGCGCCGATTCACATAATAATCGTCAGCAGCCGCATGACTGGAAAACAGTCCCGTCCCTTTCATTCTTTCGCCGTCACGACTATATATACATTTGCAGTCGAGGAAGAAAATTTTGCTCCCGCGCCTCTCGGCGATGCTCATCCAAAAGTGTTACAAAGGCCTGTGACCTTTTCGCCGGTCGGGTCACCGCGCCATCTGCGCTGGATTTCACTTCTCCGCCAAGAAGCGGGCAAAATTATTTATATGAAATTTTTTTTAAGAGAGACAAGTTTATCTTCCTTGTTTGTCAGATAAACCGCAATGAGCCCCGAGGCGCGCGTAACGAGCAACAATAAAGCTGTTTTTATTCATTTATTGTTATTTTTTTTTTTTTAATTTCGGACAAACTGCACAATTTTTTGATTCTGAAATTGAGCATGGTGTTTTGCTCGGTCAGCCGGCGCTAATGGCAACTTTGTCTTTTTTGTTGCAGAGTGTGAGAGAGGATTCGTAGCATGTAGGTCGGGCGAGCCTGAATGTGTGAAGACTGCTCAAGTGAACGACGGAACCATAGACTGCAGCGATGGGAGTGATGAAGGTAATTGCCGAGAGGACGCGCGAGAGAGGCTTGCATTTCGAGGATGTGAGCGATTGTAAAAGTAAATAGTGGTGCGAATTAATGAGGCTAAGAGCTGTACGAACGCGCGTCACGTCTGAAAATAGTGCTAACAATAAGAGTCTCAGAGACAATCACAAGAGTTAAGAAAGAAAGATGATTCATATTAAATGGGATGAATTAAAGTGGTAGTGTAGATTGAATTCTCACTGAGTGAGTGGTGAGTGAGCTTCTACCCATTCTTGAATTATTATTCTTGTTTATTCGTCTAAATTGTTTACATTCAATTGTTGAAAACAATTTATTTGAAAAAAAGAATAAAGTTTGAAATAATGAATAAATAATGTTTTTTTATACTGACAAAATAAATTTAAATTGAATTAAACAGAGAAATCATTCTTAAATATTTATAAACTTTGTATTTTAATACAAATATTAGTTAATTCATTGGTGAGAAAAAAATACAAGAATATAAATTATTAATTCAAATTTGGTTCAAATTTTAGACCAGCAGTTTTGCAAGTTTTCTTGTTAGTTTCATAATAAGTTAAATGCCGCTCTTTTTTTTCTGGTTCGGCAGTTCCAAAATTAAATCGATCGTCCACGATTTCTCCATAAGAAGCAATTTGGCAAATCACCATTTAATTTCGTGTGTCATTGAGCAAGCGAATGCTCGCGTGCGAGCGCAGCATCCTTTGATATTTTAACAATTTGAACGATGCTCTTTACGTTGAGCAAGCGGAGATGATTGTGCACCAGATCTGTGAAATTATGGCGACCTTTGAAAAGAAGTCTCGAGAACGTGACTGTATCGAGCCGATAAATCATCTCGCATCTCATATTGAGACGTCAGATTAGATACAAAGAGATCGCATTGTTCCCTTTGATAGGCAAAATAAATAATTAGCCCATCCGCACGTTTTGACAATCAATCACCAATAAAATTAATTTGGGCAGTAAAGTTTAAAAAATAAATTATTTTATCACGCTGAACGCACTGGAGCGGAGATAGTTGCGTTAATTTGGCTGCTCTGCGGTCCAAATAAATTTTTCCCGAGGAATGCAGTAAATCTCGGTAGTGTCCAGCAGCGGTCCGTTAGATACACACGCCTTAGCGCTCGGGGCCTTTGGAGCGTTCAACTGCCGCTTCCGCGTGAGGGCCACTTTTGATCATCTCGCTTTGTCAGATTTATTTTGTGTGTCCACCGCACTAATGAGGCCTCCGGATCGGAAACACGGCCGCAACCACACACAATATAATAATTCATTCCTGACTGAGAAAAAGAGGTTTTGAGTCTCGTCACATGAAAAATTCCATTCATTACGGCAGCATCCTCTTTTCTCGCTTGACTCGGAATTGATGACCCTCCGCGTGAGCCCCGGGCTCATAAAAATAAAGAAACAGTAACCATCCCAACAATGGCCCACATGCAAATCCAGTATTAAATACTGTGTGCCTCGCCCCTTTCATGGAGAACGTAGGCAGCCTGCGAAACTCACGTGCTCTCACAGTTGCCTACGGTTGTTATAAATTCTTAAGAAAGTAATTTTAATTTTTTTGCTTGGTTTTTTTTCACAGGGTGCAATGAAGGAAGTTTTGTCTGTAGGAACAAAAAGCAGTGCATAGAGAAGAGCAAAGTGCAGGATGGCGTTGCTGACTGCAAGGATGGCTCTGACGAAGGTACGCATATTAATTAATACAAAATATTTAAGTAATAAATAAATTAAATAAATAAATGAATTTAAAATGTTCCTAATTTAAATTTTTCTATAGAGTGCAAGCCTCTTCAGCACCGCTGCGTCTGTCCTCCGTTTAGGTGCGTCGAGGCTGAGAACCTCAAAGACGGCATCAAGGATTGTGAAGACGGTTCGGATGAAAGTAATTAAAGAAATTATATATATTTTTTTACAAATATTTAAATTTTTTAAATTATGGTTGCAGTTGAAGTTACAACTGCTGACTGCAAGAATTTGGTCAACAGCACTTCGCTCAAAAGACCGAAACGCAGAGCATCAGGTAGGGTGTCGACTTTAAAATATTTCTCTCTTTCTCGGATTCAAAACAAGGGTAAAAAATCCTTCTTGAGACTGTCAGTTTATTATATTCCAAATTATTATTTTTCTCTTTCAACAATGTACAAAGTTGAAAATTTTGGTAAAATATCTCTTCCTTTCTCTTTCTGCAAACCTTCTTCCAACTCTGTCCTTTATTTTATTTTAAATTTGTGTTTTTTTGTCTCTTTTTCATGTACGTGTTCTTCCTTCGCTGTTCGCCTCGAAAACGCCACTCGAACACCAATTATTAATCCACCCACACAAACACTTAACACAAACACACGAAATGTATAAATTTTTACATAAATTAGATGTGAGCACGCGAGTTGACGGCCCCGTCACCACGTCAATGTTTCTGGGCGCCGAAATTCTGCCTAGCGAGCACAAGAACCGTCCAACTGGTCTGTTGACCTCCACGGTCAACACGTTCATCCAGCAGGGCACGACCACTGAGTTCGCAACCAAGGTTTTTGGCACTCACGTGGATGGCCACTATGCCAAGATTGTCAGCACCAGCTCCAGGGTCTTCTTTGCAGTGCCATCGGCCGCCGCCGGTGACGCCCTCGGAGTTCTGAAACCAACCGGCCTCATTTCCAGCGTCACCGCGACCAAAGTGTCCGGACTGGTCACCACCCTGATCACCACCGACTACTACAGGACCTATATTGACGGAACCTACGCCCAGTTGGTGTCAAGCTACTCCAGGGTGGTTGAACCATCAATTCACACTGTCCTCGCCACCAAGGCTTACGGGTCCATCGCTTCGGGACAAATTTATCCCACGGCCGTGCACGACTCCAAGCAGTCAGTGATCGAGGTTTCGCCAGTTAATTTCAAAAATGATAACCAGATTTCGCCGAGCAAGTCGTCCAGCATTGTTAGGGCGACGGCCTACGGAGACCTGGAAAAGACAAACACCAGGGTCACGTTCTCCAGCAGCCAGCAGTCTGCCGAGGACGAGAGCGATAATTTCATCAACAAAATAAAGAAGTTTGATGGCTTCAAAATTAGCAAGCCCAAGAGCAATTTGCCCACGTACACCATTTCTCATTATGGTGCTGACCTGCTCGATGACACCACTGAGACCATTGTTAACGTGGACAAGAGCGTAGAAGCCTATGTAAATGGAAAGAAGCGAGATAACAAAAACTTCTCCAATTCCTCCAGGCCGAGAAACATCAAGGGTTTTAAAAATTTCAATGTCATTCACAGCAAGGACGATTTGCACTCTGTTGAGTCGGGCATGCCAACAGTGACTTATGTTGGTTTTGATGATTTCACCACAACGGTGCACAACACAGTCATCGTGTTCATGCCGCACTCCAAAGCACATGTCCACGCCACCAAGGCTGCGATTCCAAATTTGAAAATCACCAGTTTGTCTGAAATTATTGTCCCGACCGTCAGCAGCAAGTTAGCAGAGTCGCGAAACAGCCTGTTTAATAAACCAAGAACATACATTTCAAATAATTACATTTCTGCTACTCGCACTTACAACCAAATCGCTCCATCGTCGGTTATTTCATCTTTCAATAGAAAGGAAAAAGAGCTGAATGCTGAAGTTAAGCCTGCTGTTGAGCCTGAAATTAAGCAAAAGTCAAAGAAGATTGATCTGGAGTCGAGCAAAAGCTCTGCCGAAGCTGCTGCTTCTGATTTAATGACTTCCTTGGGAATTGAGCCTTCAATTGCCAGCATTGAAATCAGCTCGGAAATCATGAGCGAGTCGAGCATTTTGATGCCCACAGAGTCCATTGAGTTTGCAACTAAGTCTGTTACGAAATCCGCTGAGCCTGAAATTGCCACTGTGACCACGGAAGAGACGCCCAAGACCACTGAGCCTTTGGAGACCACCACTGAAGGAATGAGCACCACTCAGCAACAAATTGTTGAGAATGAGGATTCCAGTGAAAATCTCGTTCCGAATGAAAGAAAAATTAGTTCTCAGCCAGGAGAGCAGATTTTGGTTGAAAATAACAGCCTCAATAGCAGTAGTTCAAGCAGCTCAATCCAGTACGTGACAAAGGTCATTCCAAACACAATTTTCCGCACCTTTACATATTTCACCACTTTCTTCATTCCAAATGGAGAACAAACTTCGACCTCTATTAAATCAAATGAAGTTACCAGCACTGAAATTAAACTTTCTACCAGCCTGGTTGACATTAGAGAAATATTGGCCACCGCGATTGCTCAGCAAATTAACCCATCTTCAACTTATTCTATCACACCTTCTGCTTCCGTAGAAATTACCACAGAGTCTGAACTGGAAACCACAAATAACACACCTGAAGTGACAATGACCGAAACCATGACTTCTGAAAATGAAGTAATCACAACTGGACCAACAACTCCAATGCCCGATCCGGACGAAGAGGAAATTGAACTTTTGCTAAAAACTCAATTTACAACTTACACGTATCTGACCACTTATTTCCAAGATAAAACGTCCAGCATTTCAAGCAGAGAGGAGGTCGTCACAAATGTGATTACTTCTACTTTAGACAAAAATGCAGTTTTCACTGACCCTGCTGTTGCTGGTTTGTTGAACAGAGTTGAAGGCATCTTTGATTCTAACAGCATTGCTCCAACATCTGTTGGTATTGGGCGGCCGACTGAAGATATTTATAAAGATTTGCATGATGCCGATGTTCAGCCGACTGCCAGAATAGCCCCTGAAAACTTAGTTTCTTCGACGGTCGTAGATGAGACTGATGACCTGATTAAGACCTACTACACAACTTACACTTACTTTACGACACTCTTTGCCGACGGCGAAACAACCATCAATAGCCGAACTGAGGTGTATTCCAATATTGTGTCACCAAGCAGTCTTGCTTCAAGTATTCGGCCAACAGAAGTAGACAGCACCATTGTTCCGACACTCGAGGTGAAGGCTACCAATGTCGTGGCAGCACTTGATGAGGAGTATGCAAAGAAATATACCACGATGAGGGCTAAAGACCCAAGTAACAATGAAGCACCGGAAAAGCCAGCATTTGACCTGGAGCCGATTAAGGTCAGCATCCCAGTGCAGAAGGTAGCAGTAGAGTTTGTGCCAGAAAATATCCCCCCAAAGGAGGAACCTGCTCAAGAAAAAAATAAAACTTTAGAGTCGAAAGAACTTGATTTGCACGAAAGCATAAAAACAGAAATGTTTGACATTCCTGCTAATTCTGTGAAAGCTGATTTGGATGATCTGGAAATAAAAAACGAAGATAATTTAGTGCCTGGAGTCGAGGTTGCAAATCTCGATGATCAGATAAGTCTGGAAAGCAGTACAGATATTGAGCCTTCGCCTTCATTACTCCTGCAGACGAGTTATACGACATTTACATATTTCACTACTCTTTATAAGGGACAAACATCTGAAATTGTTAGCAGGCTCGAAACTGTGACAAATGTTGTTACTGAAACAGTTAAGCCAAATGAGTCAACAATTACGCAAGAGGTTAAGCCTTCAGAGGTTTTTAACGACTTGTCTTCAGCTGACTCTAGTGAAATATACCCAATAACTTTCTTCACAACATTCACCTACTGGACCACCGCTTTCAAGGATGGATCGACCACAGTTACCAGCAGAGAGGAAACAGTCTCTAACGTTGTTACTCCTACTAAGCAGCTTGAAGAAAGCATTAAGAGCACCAAAGTTCAAGATGCACCAGCAATAATTATAACTCCTACACCTGCGGAAATTGAGCCAACGACCTTTTACACTACTTACACCTATTACACAACATCATACATTGGTGAGAGCACAGTTGTAAAGAGCAGGCTAGAAACAGAAACTAATATTGTCACACCAACGCCCGTTGATAACGCTCTGATTCCTACTCAAATCGGCAGAGCAATTGGAAGTTCACCTCCTGTTGAGCAATTGGTTGAGAAATCTAAGGTAGATGAGCAAGAATCTCTGCCCACAGGTGTAACCCTAGCAGCTAAGACAATAGACGGAAAAAAAGCTGCAAAAGCTACAGAATCTGATGGCAGTGAAGATCAAAAAGAAAAAGGTAGTTCACAAATTGTTACACCAGAACTTGGTTCAACCACACCACCAATTGCATCTCAAACACAACCAACTGGTGTTGTTTCACGAAATGTTGGCAGCATAGTTGATGTTGATGGAATAACAACAACGTATTATGAAACAAAGGCTATTGGAACTTATATTGGAAACTTGTATGCCCAGGTTGTAGAAAGCACAACGTCTGTAAACATAGACACGGAGCGAACTCCAGAACCATCCGTTGCATCTAGGACTGGACTAGTGAGATTAATTGAAGGCTCAATCATAAAAGATTCGACAACCACTGCTTATGAATCTAGAGTGGTTGGAACAATTGTGGATGGATTTTATGCCCAGATAATTGAAAGTTCATCAAGCATCATTACGGCAACGCCAACTATCACGACAGTTGAGCCAACTGCAACTCTTGAACCTTCCCACGTTGATGACGAAAAGCATGAAAAAGCTGAGGAGGACACTAAAAATAAAAAGCTCGGCTTCCCTAGGAAGAATACATTGACTCCCGTTATAAGACCTTTTGCTGGTACAAGGAGCCGACCCACATTCCAGCCAAAAAAGCCACCACCAAGTCCGACAACAATTACAAGGAATTCTCTAACCCCAACAATTACGGCTACTCCTGCCTCATCTAGCAATTCTGAAAGTTCTGCTAACAGATACAGGTTTAATCAAAGACGCCAAAGCAGTGCTAACCAACTCACAATAGAAGTGAAACCAACCAGTACTCGCAAATTCCAACGTGGCAGAAGTACTTCTGCTTCTGGTGGTTTCAATCCATCGCAATCCTCGACTTTTAACCCATCTACTGGTAGAAGGTCAACTGGAAGGGTGCAGCCAACAGCCTCGTCCACTTTCGGTAGCTCATCTCGGCGAACGGGTAGTTTCAACACTCGCACGTTTGCTTCTTCTGGACGTCCCAACACAGCTTTTGCTTCGTCATCGGTGTTCCCAGGAAGCTCGAGGTCAAGAATAAGGCCAACATCATCTCTTCCTTTCTTTACTAGAGCTTCATCCACTTTGACAACCCCTGATCCAGAAATTCATGCAAACACACTTAGTGAATCCGACGTAACTGATGATGATGTGGCGCAAACTAAAATAACTGAAACTACCAGACACGAACAACATAATACAGTGACCGAAGCGACGTTATTTAAGAGGCCTTTACCTTTCAAACAACGAACCAGGCCTCTTACTTCAAGGTCTGGTACGACAACTACTGCAGCGCCACCAAAAACTACTTCATCAGCAAGGAAGTTTACTCCCAGGAAAATAACTGTTGCGGACAATAACATAAACGAAGAAAATCAACCGCAGAGAATCACTAGGCCTACTTCTCGCCCCCTCCTCTTCAAGCAAAGACCCACAAGCAATCTCTTCCCTCCTCGCCAGCTTTTCAAAAGACCTAGTGAAGATAAAGTTCAGACCGAACAACCAGTAAAACACGATGACGTAGAGGAATCCGAAGAAACTGATAGTGACTTTGAACAATCTGAGCAGGTTACGAAATCTGTGGCAAAAAATGATCCGCGCCAAATTGTGATAAAACCATTTTCTCTCCGCAGAAGAAGCAAGAGAGAATCCAAAGTAGAGCCAATGGTGAATATGACTGCAAAAGCTTTTGTGAGACCATTGAGCACTGATGTATTGAGGCGCATTAAGAGACAATCTACATCAACGTATGGCTCGTTCAGTTCGCGACGTCGTCCTTCTGCGCCTACGCCTGCTCCAAAGAAATCATCTCCTGAGTATGAATATGTGTATGAGTATGTTGATTATGATGAACCGGCAACACCAAAGCCAACTTACACAAACACAAGAACAAGGGGTCGATCAAATTTTAAACCTCCAGCAAAATCTGAAGTAACGGCTTCCGTCAGTCCTAAAATTCGACCCACTTCCACATCCAGGCAGTCACCGTTTACACTGACCAACAACCAGAAATCTCAAGACAGATATTCTCAAGCAACTCCTGCACCTCTAACGAGCAGGTCAAGCTTCCGTCGACCTACGACTACAAACACTAGATCACGAACAACTGACACAAGAAGCGAAAGCAAATTGAGAGCACCGAGACCTAGAACAATTGATAGCACACCAACAAGGAGTTCTAACAGAAGATACAATTCAGTAACTACCACACCAAGGAGACAAACGTCTAGAGGTAGATATAGAAATGATTACGACAGCAACGAAAATCAATATATCACGCCCGCTTTTGACGGAACTATTACTGTTACTCACAAAGTTCCGACTGAAGTTACTATCCCAGTAATTAATGGAAAATTCACTGAATATAAACAAGTCATTAGGAATACACCAAGCACCCAAGTTGTTGGCCCGAAGGAATACAGCTCAACAGAGTACGGTGGAAGTACTGTTTTTATCCTAAACAATGAAGTCACAGCCACACCAGCTCCTGGAGTTACCGAGGTAACGCAATTCATTCTAAAAGAGCATCCTACCACAAGCGTAACATTCACACCAACAACAATTAGAGGAAGGAAAACTTCATTTTCGCACATTGTGCCCAGCACTGCTTACGAAGTGGAACCAATTGTTAATACAATAAACGATGCAATTCCAAGCGCTCCCCTTGCCAATCTTCTTTTGTCTCAACTTTTGCTAGGGAACTTTGGTCTGCAGCAAAATATCAACCCTCTGCTGGCTTTGAACCAACCGCAAGTTCAAGCGACACCAACCACTGAATTTAAGACAAGGTCAACAACATACGTTACTACAATCACAGATTTGAAATCGACTGTTCTGCCTATTACTTTGAGAGGGAAGGCCATCATGACCACAATTATTAATAGCAAGGAAGATGTTATCACAGCAACCGAATATATCACGGACACCATTGTTGTCACGCCGACGCAAAATCCCACAAACCAATTCAACTCCCTCTTGCTTCCCGCTCTCCTGCAAGCACAATTGCAGCAGCCCGCCCAGCCTAATCCACTGTTGCTTCAACAGGCGCAACTTCTTCAGCAACAACAGAAATTCCTCCAACCTCAAAAAATCCAAAAGGAGAAAATTGAGGAGGAAGAAAACTTAAGCATCGAAGATGATGAGCAAAAAAGCTCTGAATTTGAAGTGATCAGCAAAGAAGAAATTAGTCATGCTAAACCAGTGGTCAAAGCCACTAAGGCACCCAAAATTCACAAAAATATTGCACCCGAAAAGCACACCAGCGTCGTCACCATTTACGTCTCGGGCAAAAACCCTGGTGATTTTAGCACAGTGCTTTCAACTATTGTGACTGAAGGAGCAAGTGTTGTTAAACGTGAGGCAATTTCACCGCCTACCTTGGAAGTGAAACCTTCAGCAGATGTTCAAACAGAAAATTTCCCAGTTATGGACGATTTCAATTTGTATGTTATGTCAGCCTACAATGACATTGAGGGCAGCGAGCTTAGCAGCGGAAGGTATGAGACTCAGAGCCTAGAGAGCATTTTGGGCGACGTCACCAAACATTACCATTCTTCAAATGGAAACAACCAATACTCAACAGTCTCAACTCTAAATTAAGTTAAATAGCTCCCTAATAATGTGTTAGTGCCCAGAACTGGCTGTAAAATATGAAATATATTTAGTTCTAATATTAAGAATCTACTGTAAATAATGCCACAATATTCTATGCAAAATTATGTTAAAGTTAAGAATTTTACACAATTTGTGATATAAACTAATGTTTTGTGGACAACATCAAACATGCACACATAAACATTAAACACTTACCCAAGAAAGCAATTATCGAAAACTGGCGACCGACGTGATTTTCAAAGGTAAAAATAATGGTTGTTAATATTTTTTGCACGTATATATTTTTCAAAAAACTTGTATATAACATAAAATTTATTACACAGTATCTTACTTAGTTCAGATGAAATATTATTTAAATTATAATTCAAATAGTTTTAAAAACGTAATGACATTGATATATTAACAAATTAAAATTTAATTGCAGATGTTGATTTCAACCCCGAAGAAGCGCGGATGAATTTGGCAACACGAATAATGAGCAACGGCGTCGAGGTTATTGTGGCTGACAGATCAACTAATCAAGGAGAAAATTTAAGAATAGCGCCTACCTCTGTAATTGCGGTGATGACAGCACCTAGTACAATTACGGAAGAAATGCTTAGCAAAATGCCAGCTGGACAACAAGTAATTTTTTTAATAATTGTTTTTTACTAGATCATAAAATTTAAGAATTAAAAATCTGCAACAACAATATGTTAGTGTGAAAATTCACTTACGAGTAAAAATGAAGAAAACGATTTTGATTTTACAATGAAATTTCCTTAAACACAAACAGATTTACCAGTCTCTATTCCGGTCTGAAACAATTTTGAAGAGCAAGAGAAATATAAAATAAATTAAGTAACGCTTTACAACTATTAAAAAATGTAAAACTTAAATAACCACAAATTTAAATTACCAACCTAAGTAAATCATAAACACACCTATTACTCGCTTTGTAAACAGTGCGTTTGCGTATGAAATGTAAAAGGCTATTATTGTATTAACAAAAAAGTTTTTTTTTTTTTGTGTGTTACGCTCCCTTTCTTCTATTTTGTGCTCGTAGATTCCTCTTCAATCAACTAATCTGAACATTTTTATTTATTATTTCAGGCGCAGTTTCTTTCGTCAATCAAGTCACAGAACGCGCATTTGTTGGTCTACAAGCAGCCTACAACTTACGTATATTTGAAAAGCAAAGTAAAAAATGGAAAAACGACAACCCTTACCACAGAGGAAGTAATTACAAATACCATTACGAAAGCAACCCACGATATTTCTGCCACTCCAACTATCGAAGCCATTCACTCAACAGTCTTGGCAAATTTTGATGACGCCATTTATGAAACAAAAGCTATTAAGACAACTTATACATATTTCAACACCCTGGTTGATGACGAAGTACCCATAGTTGTAACCTCCAAACAAACAATCGCAAACACAGTCACCAGGCTGCAGGAGACGATTGAATTGCAGCCCTCTGAGCAAATGTTTGACTCTAACACTTATTATAGCACGCACACGTTTACAAAAACTTTGGATGGCGATGAGCAAAAAGTAACTTCCAAGCAGAAAAACATCGTGACGCAAGTTATAGTAACTGAAGCTCCCTCATTCCTGGTCAAACCTTCAAAGTCTTCTAAAATAAATCCTACAGCCACTACTGATATTGTTAAAACTTATTTCGTAACTTACACATATTTGAACACCTATTTGGAGAATGGAAGCACTGTAATCAAAACAAATATTGCCACTTCATCTGATATGGTAACAGAGAAATTCTACAGAAACCAAGTGCGCGCAACTTTGCCCGAGTCTATTAAAATCACGGCTGAAATTGGTATTGCACCTTCCGCAACAGTTGCGCCTTCAGATTCGATCAAAGTATACGCCACTAAAACCTATCTGACCACATTTACATATTTTACAACTTTTTTGGAGGGCAACAAAACGGTGACCAGCTCCAACTCGAGGGTTACCTACAGTGTCCAAACTGAACCAATCACCGCAGGATTGGACTCTGCCTACCTTGATTCCATTCGCAGCTCTTTTGCAGCACAAAGTTCGAGGAAACCGATTACTACCACAGTCATTTTGGCCGGCGAAGCGCTTGAAATTACTGCAGTTCAGCCCTCATCAACGAGAGAGACAATTATAACTTCAACATCCCTCGTTCCTTCCTCCATTGAGAGCGTCGTGACTGCCTCGACTCTGAATTTCATTCAGGATAGCATTACAAAACCTACCACATCAGTTTATGAAAAACTCACTTCTATCCGTCCAGCTTCAACAAAAAACACGGACACACCTGAATATTTGCTGAGTAATTTAAAAAATAGTGCAAGTGCCACAAAGAATGAGCAGCTCACTTCTACCATTGCTGTCCCAACTCTACAAAATGATGAAGACATAATTACAACCAGCAAGCCTATCAAGAAAAGGAAACCCAAACCGGCTAAGAAAAATCCAAATAAAGACAAGCCGGAAGTTGGAAATGAAGACGAGACAGAGGAGGATGATTACGACTATGAGCAAGATTTAAAAGTCGCTGCCGATTTGACAAATGCTGAGTCACAAGTTGCGTCTGAATTTGGAGTAAATAATTTATTGAACATTGGCCAAAATAGCATCAATGCTATAAATGCATTAAAACCAGTCTTTAATGCAGTGGCTGGATTAATATCAACTAATTTTGGCAAGAAATCTGACACACCAATACCTCCTCAGCAATCAAAGCCTTCTCAGTCGCAACCAGCACATCGAGTGCCACCTATTTATCCTGAATTTTTGCAACCAAAAACTCCAAATAAACCAATCGTTGCATCAAATCCAGTTTATATTCCAGTGAGAGATTTGGCAACTGCCAATTCTCATTTGGCCTCTGAAAAACACATTCCTGGAATTGCCGAAAGTGTTCGACCCGATTTGCCTTTGGAGGATAATGACAAATCAGGAAGTGCGTGGATCGACAGTCTTCCCATTCAAGGAGTAGTAGATGAGAGGATCCCTTTGATGGAGAGGCCAGGTTCATCGCAAATTGTTCTCGGAAAGCACCAGCAGCCTGATATACCAATTTTGCAAGACGGAATTTCAATTCAGCCCGGTCAAATAATCACCGCTAATTCTGATGTAATTGTTGGAAGGCCGTCAGTTCTGGGCACAAGACCGCACAGGCCAGTGCCTCCACCACCTCCTCCTCAAACTCATTCTAACAGGCGACCAGGAAGACCAGAATTGCATGTGCATCACAATGATGTACAGCATATTGTGCACCACAAGCAGCCACAAGTTGTTCTTCCTCACCATTCACCGGCAAAACACTCACAATCAAATGTTGCAATTGGCATGAAACCACCACCGTTCCCTCCTCAAAATCCATTCTTGGGAAATAATAAGAACAGAGTGCGGCCAAACCCTCCGCATAATCTGCCAACTCCTGACTTGCCGGGCGAAAGACCACAAATTATTGTTCATCCTTCCAATGTTAAAAACAATATTGACAGAAACACCATTGGTCTCAGCCACACAGTGCGCCCTTCAAAGCCCTTAATGATTGACGGAGGTCCAACTTTCTACCCTGGTGACTCAAACGAGCCAATTATAAGTGAACCGATTCCTCTGCCCGAGCCAGGATTTGTAGCTGGTTCAAGTATTGGTAAGTAAAAATTAATTTTTCCCCTTCATTATTAAAAAATATAATTAAAAGTATTTCGAAAATTGTAGGAGAAATTATTTGAATAATTTTTACTTTATTGATCACGATTTCATTTCAAATTATGAATGATGTGATCAAAAATTTTTTTTATAGATCTGATCACTTTGTTATGGATTGAAAAAATTAGCAATATTCAATTTTATAATTTATTTTATACGTAAAATTTATAAACTTCCAGGAGACAATTTGCAACAATAACATTTTTTATTTTATTTGTGAGTTAATTAACATTTTAACAATATATTACCTGACAAAATTGATAGTTGAAAACAATTTGGAGCCGCACCCTCTTTTTATTGGATCTATTAAAAAAAAAAAAAAAAACGAAATTTTGTAGTAGAAATTCACGATCCTAATGATTTGAATTTGAAGCCGACTTTTCCTCGACGTGTTTTGTGATTACTTTATTGTTAAAAGAAAACTGTATCCTGCTCGACATGTTTTGGCTGAAATTTGCAGCCTTAATTAAAAATCAAAATAGTATCAATACATAAATTGATTTTATATAAGTTTTCATCATATTATGAATTTTTAGAGAAATTCTTATCATATAAAATTTCCTATTAATTTGTTTCTAAAATGAAACTTTCATTTTTGCAAATATTTTTACATTAAATATGAAAATTACATTCGTAAAAATATTTTCAAAAATCTTTGTTGAATTTTAGGAAAAAATTAAATGGTGAAAAAATTGTTATGAAAAGAATTTTTCTAAAAATTGATTATTTGATGAACATAATTTATAAAATTAATTTATATACTAATTTTCTTCAAAATAATTCACAGCTCATGAATTATGGCTTCAGTTCGCAGCCAAAATATGTAGAACAGGATATTGATTTTCCAAAAATATAAAAATGTATTCTTCTCCTGTTAAGTCGTACACATGTTGTGTTTAATAAAATTTTCTAATCTAAAAAAAAAAATATAAACCACTTAAAAAACTTATCGACTTTAAATTCAAATCACCGTAAAAGAGGGGATTCTTGATTTTAGCTGATTGTATTAAAAAGTTACATTTGAAGTCTCAATTCAGAAGTTTTATAAAAAAAAAATTGTAGCTGATTATATATGTTAATTTGATTTTGCAGGCTTGGGAGATTCTTACAGTCATGGAGATGAAGGCCACATTATCAGGGGAACTATTGGAGAACCACCTGCTAGGCCTCAACAGCTCGGCTTTGACGAGTCCTCGCTCAACCCACAACTTCCTGGTGCCGTCGTCCTAGATAATCCTGAAACCATGCCCGTTTTGCAACCGGGGGCAAAGGTGAACGTCCCGGTTACATTTGGGGGAGCACAGCATCCACCGGTGTATCGTGACCAGCCTCCCCGACTGCCATCACCGCCCCAAAAAGATGTGCGTATTCCACCATTCCGGCCTCCACCTCAGTTCGAAGACACGATTTGGCCGGGTCAAGTGCAACATCACATTTTGGACTCGCGCCCTGGCCAAAATATCCATCACATTCCAATTGTTGCTAGGCCGGTTAAAGTGGCACCAAATATTCCCCTCCATCAAAATCCAAAAGAACCACGACCTCAAATCAATCAACAACAAATTTACCAGCAACAACAAAACTATCAACAACAGCAACAATACCATCAGCAGCTGCAGCAAAACAACCAACATGAACCACCCCGTCAGCAACAGCGTCCCAATAGAAATGATCAAACGCCTATTGACATGCTCCCTCCACCTGAACCACCAAAATACCCAGAACAGCCGCAAATTGTTGTTCATGGACACAATGGTGGTCATCAACACGTTCCTGCGCAAGAATCTCAAAATTTGTCACCTCAAACGCCAACACACCAAACCGAAGATGTCATTTTCAGTCCAAATGCAAATGACTGGGACAGTTCAAATGAACCAGTCGGCTCTGAGGGTGAGGAGGACGGAGAAGTTATTCAGGAAACTGAGAACAGGCCGCTGCTGCCAAATGAAGTTTCACAAGAAGCTACAACAAAGAGGCCCATTAGATATGAAACCACCACAATTGAGCACCAGCCCCCTTCAAGAGATGTGCCTAATCGTGGCAATAACAGGCCAAGTTTTGAACAATCAGGAGGCCAGATTGAATTTGTCCGGCCTGGAATTGTTGACGATGTGGCGCGAGCTCCTCCAAAATATAACATTGGGCAAAATATTGACTCTATTTCACAAACTAGAAGTACTCCAAGACCATTCTTTGGAAAGCGGCCTTCCACCGAAATGCAGCCACCTGCACCTGTGCGAGACCAAGAAGTTCTTCCGCCTACAATTCCAGTTGAGAACTCGAGACCAAATCCTGGAAATTCACAAAATCCGCGGTTCCCTGTGGTCGATATAAAATTGCAGGACCCGCAGAGTAAGCATCCTTACCAGTACGAATTGCCAGAAGATTTCCAGCCGCCACCACCACCGTCATCTTCGGCTCGGCCACCACCTTCCTCTTCTGCAAGGCCCTCTTCCAGACCCTCCTCTTCAATCAGACCGCCACCTTCGTCAAGCAGGCCACTTATTTCAAGAGTGCCGTCAACCTCAATGCGTCCTCCACCTGTACGGGACAGCGTGTCCAGTGGCACCTCATTGAATGTACCTCCTATTCAAAGTTTTGAAAACGTCACAGAAACCAGAATACCTGCCAGACCAACGTTGAGGCCTAAACCAACGAGGCCAACCGTCACCAGGCCATCTCGTCTGCCACCAAGCCGATTGCCACCTGAAATTTTGGAACCACCGGCACCACCCGCATACAACCCTGAAATCGAATCTTCGATCATTGAGCCAGAAGTGGTCATCACCACTGTCACAACTGAGAGTCAGGAGTACTCTGATGACTACGACGAGGAAAGCATTTTTATAAAACCGACAAGAACCGTTACTGTTTTCGAAACAGTCACTACTACCAGGCCACAGCGAGTGCGCACCTCAGTAAGGACAGTCATTCGGCCAACAAGTGTGTACCAACCGACATCCGCAATCGAGCAGTACGAGGAGCCATCCAGTTCCAATGTCCAACCAACCGCCACCAACATTTTAGTTGCCGGTGTTTTCAACAACCGTCCGAGGGTGCCAAACAAGCCCTACTCAAATATTGCAAGAAACGCCACTGAAAGATATGTTGTTAAGCCGGTGACCTCGGTTATCACCTTGCCCACTAGACCTTCCACCAGGTACATCACTCAAACTGAAACGCTGACTATAACAGCAACCGAAACAACGGTACTCAGCAGCCGCGGCCAGCCCTACACGAAAACGGTGGTGGTCACGCAGACCGAGTCGCCGAGGACCGTAGTGTCCACAATAGTGGGCACTGTGACAGAAATCCACACGATTGACCCTAGCACAATCACCACCACGATTTCGGCCACCGTATCCACAAAGCACGTTGAGGTCACCACGACCCTATACCAGCCGCCGTACGACAGCTACCCGTCCTTCACCATCAGACCAATCGGTGATTTGGCGCCACATCCATCCAATGGTGACGACGACGACACCGTACTCACCATTGATGAGACTGACAATGATGTCAAAAAGGCTGCACCGGTCGTTCCAGTGGTGGTGGACGCAGACCTGTCCAATGGAGACTCGAATGCGTGCGAGCCTGAGTGCAAGGTGACCAAGAACGAGATGTGCAAGGAGTACGACGGTGGATTGCGCTGCGTTTGCAGACCTGGATTTGCAAGAACGTTCTTTGATAGTCCTTGCACACGTAAGCGAAAGAATTAATATTAAATAATTAAACAAATAGTTTAAATATAAATTAACTGCATTCTCAATTTTTTATAAACTTAATTAAATTGTTAGTGTATAGAAATAATCACAAGTACCAAAGGACTGTTGAATAAATTTTCATTTTCCAATTTTATATATATAATATAATTTCTTGTATGATTACAATATTTTTTTCCGTGATGTAAATTGAATGTAGTCTAAACTTCAATGCAGATTTTAAAATGAAACATCTGAATCTTCATGATTATAATTTCATGATAGTACATTAACCAACAACCATATTTTATAATAATTTTGTTTTTAATTTTCTTTACATAACTTCCTACTTTCATAAATTTCATAATTTTTAAAGTTAAATTTTATTTTCAGCGACATACACCTTCCAAATGAGAATGCTGCTGGACAGCCTCAAAGGAAAGAAGCTCACATACAAACCAACTTTGAACAATGAAGAGAGCAACGATTACAAATCTCTTTCCATGGAGGCTAAAGACGGCATTCGCAGAACAGCAATGCGTTCTGAATTGCGAGATGTGTACCAGGGAGTCCAAGTCACTGGATTTGAGCCTGCCAGGGTGGAGGAAGCGATTGACAATAACGAGGACGAAGACAGTGTCTATGTCAATTTCTACGTCCAGGTAAAAAAGAATAATACATAATTTTTATTAATTTTGAATTTTTCAAATACAGCTGAAAATAAATAAGTGTAAAACAGTATAATTAAATTATCTACCTTTTGTCCAACATTTTTTTTTTTTAAATTTATTTCAACAATTGAATGCAAAGCATTTATTTGTAACAATTTGGAAAAACCAAAACAAAAATTATTATTAAAATATTTTTTAACTTATAGCTCTCTGAAAATATTGATGAGAGCGACCTGGAGGAGAGATTCAAGCAGTCCCTGATGAAAACCAACTTCAGCCTGGGCGGCACTGAAATGTATGCAGCTCGAGAAACGCGCTTAGCCTCCTCGGACTTTGATGAGTGCAGCAGCGATCAATTCAACGACTGCTCGAAGGACGCCGAGTGCTTTAACTTCAAAGGCACGTACACGTGTAGCTGCAAGGAAGGTTTCACAGACATGTCACCGAGTACCAAGTACCCTGGCCGAGAGTGCACTTCCGATATACTTGGATGCGCCAAGTGCAACTACCACGGCACCTGTCTCCCTTCGAGACCAGGCGACAACAGGGTCTACTGTGACTGCTTCCAGTGGTACGCAGGACAGACCTGCTATATCAACCTCAAAGGTAAAACAAAGTTAATAAATAAAATTTAATGAGGAAATTTAGTATATCTAAAATTTTTAAATGATTTAAAATTTTAATTTTGCAGTTTTGCTGATCGCCCTGTTAACTCTTGGAACGGTTATGCTCCTCACTCTGGTAATGTGTTCTGTCCTGACTTGCATGAGAAAAAAGCAGCCTCAAGCTCCTGGCAACCAAAGAGCTGGTAGTTTATATCAACTTAAAAAAAAAATATGCAACTAAATAAAATTTTCATAGGTTTTATGAGGTACAGAGGCAATGCAGGTCAAATGAGAGGCACCTTGGACAAAACTGCAATGATCCAGGATACAAGCAGTGAGAGCAGTGTTGATGGAAATGCTATGCAATACGTAGCCAACTCAATGGTAATTTTCATTCAAAAATGAATTTATTTATTTTATGAACTTAAAATTTGAAAAAAATTATAAGTTTTCTATCAATAATATATTTTGAATTGTTTAGCGTCCGTCTGGATCGCGTGGAGGAAAGGGCGAGGCCGGCGTGGCTCCGAGTGAGGGCAGCTACGTGATGGAGAAGGACCGTTCGTTGACGGTGATGATCCCGCGCGCCAAGTACCGCCCCGTCCAGTCGACGTCGGTGTTGTCAACCTTCGCGCCCCCCGGTCCTGCGGCTGGCGGCAGCAATGAGCAAAAACTGCTCAACTACCTGGAGGGAGGTTCGCAGGAGAAGCGCAAGGGCTCGTCCGAGCGAAAGCAGTCGGCCGGGGCTTTGGTGTCCGCCGGCTTCGAAGTGTCCGCTCACGTGAGTCGCCACGCCGGCGCCGACCACATGACCCTAGTCAGCCAACGCTCGGGGCGCACCACCCTGCGCACCGCCAACAGGTCTGTATTGCAAAGCGGCTGGGTCGCTCATTCGGGTTCACAAACTGCTTCACTAATTCAGTATTAATCAGCAGTGCAGGTTTTTATTTGTTGTTGGAATATTTGCTTGAGATAAATTCGGATAACTGACTTTTTGTTTGACTAATGACTGACTGAAATTTTTTAATCATTTTTCGGTGGTAGATTTTAAATCAGTTTGAATGCATCTTTTGAAAAAATAAAATTTGCATGACTTTTGAATAAATTATTTTAGCTTATTTAATTTGTTTATAACTACTAGATTTTTTCTATCTGCGATTCAATCAATTAATTAATTAAACGCTGACGTTTGAGTGACTTAAGAGACCCACTGACCTACGTAGAATTTTGAATTAATGAAATGTGCATTACAGTGATATCGAGAGTGCCGTGATCACGAACCGCACCGATCAGATGGCGGCAGTGATCGCCGACTACAGGCGTACAACCGCCCCCACCCCACCCCCAATGCCCCCAGTGTAAGGCCCTCACTTCCTTCACTTTTTTCAGCACCTCTCTCTGAAATATTCACTTCTGATCACTTTCCTATGTGAAAACTTTCACCGCAAATTTCCTTCACTAGTCAGCAATTTTTATAGAATTTTTTTTTTAGGAATTTTTTTTCCAAAAAGCTTTATTAGTGCTTATTTATTTAGTAGTATATAGTTTTTCCGGTTGTTAACAGTACGGTGTTGATAAATTTATGAATTAACAAGAAATCATGATTGGGTGGCGGACTTTCTGCTCTTTTTGTTTCTTTCCTAATCTGTGACGCAGTCTCTGCGCGCGACAATGCGCAACGAGCTGATGGTTGTGTCTATTTGCTTCTGCAGAACCATGTCCGAGGCCAGGTCGTACGACGAGACGCTCGTCCAGCCGGCTCAACGCAGCAGACACAACTGCAGCACTTATGGCTCAAAGCCCGGGTCGTCCAGGCACGACGTAAGTGCAGCAGAGTTGAACTGATAATAATTTCGATCATTTTTTAATTAATTGTAAATTATTTTGTCCACTTCTTGCAATTTATATGAAAATGGAAATTTAGTTGATATTATAATTATCAAATTTCCTTTCAAAATAATATCAAATTAATAACATTTACTTTAAATTATAGGAGGGCCAAACGATGGCTGAAAGAGACATCGGCTCAACATTTATGATGCCCCAGTCACACCTTTATAAACCCGCAAGAGTATGAACAGAAATTGAAAATAATTGAAATAAAACTAATTAAAAAAAATGTTTAGAGAGAGGGAAGCGAAGCCTCCAACTTTGACTCACTGTGAACGCCGCTTGTACATAAGCAAGGAGGAGGTCAAATTTGGGAGCAGCTCTTTTCTTCCGAGGACTGAGAAACACGACGAGAGAAGACTGTGACCTTGTGCGCACCGCCTTCTTTGATGAAAATCACGAATTAAATAACTTATTTGCTCAGGAACACTGCAAAGACAGTATCACAAAATGCTGCCCAAGTGCGCGAGAAAAGACGTGTACGAAGCAGTGTGAAATACGAAAAGTGTGCTCATATAAAATAATTTATGACAGAAAGCGAATATGTGACAATTAATTGCTAATTAATCAATCGCCGTTGCCAATGGAGAGAGCGAGTGAGCAAATCCTCGCGCTCCCGCCCCTTGAGTGTTTAAGTCTATCTAGATTTTAATGAGAAAAATAATATATTATGTTGTAAATAATATAATTTTAACTGATGTGTAGCACGCAATTAACTCGAAATTTTAGGGCAATTCCGAGCAATGATCCAGGCAATTCTCCTAAAATTTTGACTTTAATTAGATTTTATAATATTTTTATATCGCGCTTCAACGAACAAACAACCACACACAAAGTGAAAAGGGCCGAAGACGCGCCCTTCGACTCAATGACCACAGGTATTTATTGACACGCGGCCGCTCTTCGCAGCTGAGATTTCACTATCTTTCTTTACTCTTGTTACTTCCGTGAAACTGCGAATAACTGAGAGATGCAGCCGAGAAAATGTGTGTAAAACAATATAATTATGCAACTACCTATGTATGATTTCTGCAGAAAAGCAGCCTGATAACGCCAATATCGAATAGAAAAATCAATAACATTTTGCATGTAAGCGAGCGAAATAAAAAGCATAATAATTCTATGGTTGTTATAAAATTCATGCTGTCTTATTTTTCTTAATTCCCGCTCAAATTATTTACAATTCATTTCAGGCTTGAATAACTTTTCGGCTATTTATTATTTTGTAAATGAAGAAATCGTAAAAAATATTGATTTTGAGCTATACATTTTTCGCAAAAGTAATAAAAATCACAAAAATGACGCAGATTACTTACGTGATGTTGTTTTGCGTGTTTGTAAACAAATTTTTGGACCGATCCTTGCTCTTGTTCGTCGCCGTCTCAGCTAATAAACGAGCATTCAGCGGCATTCTCTGGGTCGAGGACTCTCGTTTCACAAATCTGCACACTAAAATCCGACTGCACTTGTACTGTAGAGCAAAAAAATCACCGCAGTTCCAACCACAACACCACAATTCAAGCATGCCATGCCGCAGACTGGCGCCTCAGCTGATTTCTCCCTTCTCATCAAGCCGTGCGCACGCTTCCAGATCCAGTGGGGATGCAAGGATACTTTTTCCATCGGCGCGAAAACTTTCCCAGTTCTTCTGCGAGTACATTATTTTCATTTTTATATATAAAATATTTTATTCATGAATATATGTTTATTTATAATTTCAAATACATTTATTATTTAAAAAAAAAATCATTATTATCCTTTCTATATCTTATTAGTTTGTTAACTAAAAGAAGACGATGTGAAAAATAACTAACGACAATTTGAAAATAAGATACTAATTAAATTGGCAGGTCTGAACTATTTTTTTCTGATATGAAATAATTAAAATGAACTTATGATCTTATGCATAAAATAATTTATTGATCTAAATCTTAAATATAACAATGAGTTTCAATGTTGTATTTTTTGACGTAAAATAAAATTAATTGAAAAAAACTAATTCCACAACAAAAATACTCAAGCAAGCCACATTCTTATAGAGACTTTCTGCTCTCACATATCCTCCGTAAACATATCATTCAATTTTTCAATAAATATCCAAATGACAAAATTCATTTTTCGTTATGGCCGGCAAATAAGTTACAAACTTGAATTTTAGCACTTGTCAAGAAATTAGTTAAAAGTTTCTTAGGAAGAAATTCGCTGTGATTTAACTTTTGTCGCACTTCTTACTCCTAAGGTACATTTTTGTGATGATCGCCGCCGTGGCTATCAAACCAACGGAGACTCCTCCCAGTATGGCTGCGAGGGTTGTGAGATCAGGAATCTTAGGGGCGTAGATTATCTGGCGTTTCACATCCAACCAAGGCACCCACGTATTGTTGTAGAATCTGGAGCATTGAAATAAATATGTTTCAAATTTATTACAAATCATCAGGGGAAAAATTAAAATCAGGTTTAACCTTGTTGAAAAATTGAAGAAAAAAAATAATAAATAAATAAAAGGAAAACCAACCCCAAAAGGTAACCTGCGGTCTGCTCTGCTTGTACTTTAAAAAGTTATAGGCGGGTTTCTGGAGTCCAAGCCAAATATTAAAGAGGAGGAATCAAAGAAAAAATATTTTATTAAATATAAAATTAAAGTATAGGCCGATGGCAGCAGACCACAAGTTGACATTTGGGGTCAGTCTCTGTCCTTTTTATTTTTCAACCAGGAACTTATCATATACAAAGTTTGTATGAATTCCAGCTCAATTAAACTTTAATCAACTTATGTCATAATTTTAAAATAAAAATGTAGATGAAATGATGTTCTTAAAGAAATATCCACAATCTCATTGTCAGATAAAATTGTGTCATTTTGAATTTCATGCGAAAATAATAAACCCCTAAATCCCCACAAACCACATTTTGGAACTTACATGGGGTTTGCAGCACTGTCGACAGGCACGTTTGCAGCAGGAACGGCCGTGCTTCTCCAGCGCTCGAGTGCCTGCGACAGACCCATGGCCACGATAGGTTGAACGGCTGCGAGGTCAACCAACTCGCAAGGGTCAACCTTGATGTTGAAGAGACACGGTGAAATCAGGGGGTTACATCTGAGGTTTGCAGCCCCAGAAGGTCGGGGGCCGCACTTGACTTCAGCCTGTTCCCGAACCTCGATTGCCTCAAAAGCTGAGAGTCGTGGTTTGGGGGCGGACACGGATGCAAATGCTGCGCCCGCCATCGAACCCAGGACACCTTCGATGTCATACTCAGGGTCGCCGTAGCCTCGTGAGGTCTCACCGTACCACGAATCGATGCGACCGCGCATTGTTGTACCTGTGAATAATACTTTCTGTTCAGAATTATTTAAAAAAATTAGTTTTTTGAATTATTGTTTTGGTACAAAACATATGAGATTTTTTATCAAATTTCAGTTAATTTGTTTGAGAAATTTGGTGATTTTAGTTTTAAATTGATATTTAATCTTAATCGTTTAAACTATTTTTAACATTATGTAATAAATAAGAGATTGTATTAATTTTGAAAGGTTTTAAATAAATTTTCAATTCTCTCCGCTCGAGTATTAGATTATAAGAAATAAAAAGAACAAAACCGCAACCTACAATTTTTTTCCCATAAATTTCATAATAATTAAGGTCATCAAATTCACGATTTGAACAAAAGCCTTAACAAGAATTTTAATGGCTTGTTCTTTTCAAGCAACAATGCTTAAATTAGTACACTTAATTGGTAAATTTTTTCTTGTACCTGTAATGTACTTCCAGTCACCCTTAGTCAGGGCTGCGTACTGGTCGACCTCGTCGATGTTGTGCAGCACCTCGGTGCGCGGCGACGTCGTGTTGAGGCTGAGCGCCGGCCACAGATCGTAGCCGTCGAGGCCCTTGTCACGAAGGGTCGAAGGGTCAAGGCCGGCGGCCGAGAACAGCGTCGGCAACCAGTCGGTCATGTGCATCATCTGGTCGGCCACGCGACGCGTTTGGTTCAGCCAGGGTGCCCACATGGCAGCCACGCCACGCACGCCACCCTCCCATGGTGACTGCTTCATCTAAATGAAAAACAAGAACTAAATTATTGTTCGTAAATTTTACATATTTTATCTTTATTTTATAATTCAGAGATGATGTGTAGCTGGAGGAAACAAGAATAAATTTGAGTTGGTCACGGATTTATTTATATTTTATGACTTTTTGGTCAAATAAATAGTCAATTTGTAGTCATTATCTTAATGTTTGAATTATGAATAAATATTTATTTAATTTTATACTTATATTGCTATAAAAAAATGCTTAAAAAAATTAGTAAAGTGGCTTATATTTGTATTTCTGTAATGATATGATTTCTGCAAGTTATTCCCTCAAACTGCCTCTTAATTTTAAATTTTAGAATTAATTTTATTTTATGAGCACGCAATTTTTATAATGTTTATAATTATTTCATTAAATTGATAATTTAAAAAAAATGCTGAAGCATAAAAAATATGCTTTGCAATTAGTTAATGAAAATATTTGAGTCGAATGAGTTCAACTTTATATCTCATATTTTCACGTCAAAATAATTGGAATTACAGAAAAGGCGGTGTTTTTTATTTTAGCTTCTAAGGAATTGATTGGAGTTATCATAATTTCCAAATGCTAAATGTGGAAGACTTACACCTCTCAAAGGCCAATTTGATCCCCTGTTGGAGTGGATGCCGTAAGTCGGAGCACCATTATCTGAGAGAAACAGCACAATCGAATTTGAGAGCATTGACCTTTTGCGCAAGGCTTGAATCACCTCTCCGACCGAGTCATCGAGCTCAGCAACCATGGCTGAAAAATGGAAAAATTTGCTACAAAAAACACCAAGTCATTCAAGATTCAGTACATGACGTCAAGTGATACACCGGTTTTTGAAATTGTATGATTATAAAAAAAAGTACCAAAAAGACCCTTCACTCTTTTGCAGGTGAACCGGGCCAGTAGGTATGTAAAGTGTGACGCAATTTAATTGGGCAATACCTGCATACATTCGCCGGTCAGGATCGCCGATGTGAGCAAACCTTGCGAGCGTTTCGTTGGGAGCCTGGAACGGCTGGTCAGGATTGCCAGTGTGCGGGGCCAGGTGCGCCAAGTACATGAAAAGGGGCATTTTTGTGTCGTGGTCTCTGATTTGCTTGACGGCCTCTTGGGTGAAGAGGCGCGTTGAGTATTCGCCGACGGAGGACCAGTCGGTGTCCAGGTCGCGGTGCATGTCGTAGCCCCGCAGCGGAGTAAACTGCATTTTATCAAAATTAAAAGATTACATGAAAACAAAATTTTCTGTTAAATAATTATTATAAAAAAAATGCAATGATTGATATTTTTAATGAGCATTGTGCAATGCAACACAAACTGTGTTGAGTAAAATGATAAAATTAAAATCCACTTTATTTTTTTTAGAGCTATTTTTTTAATTTTTTTGCTTAATTAGTTATTAAAAATCTGTTATGTTTTGCTGTTAAGCAAACCTTATCGTTGGTGAATTAATGTGTTTTGAACAGAAATAATGGGAACAAAAAACCATACCGTGGCCAAAGTGTCGTGCTTGTAGTAGTCCTGATAGCCATTCCAGTAGCCGTAGTGCGAGTCGAAGCCTCTGTTGGTGGGCAGATATTCGTTTTTGAAAAAGCCGAGGTGCCACTTTCCGATGGCCCTCGTGACGTAACCTTCATCCTTAAGATAGTTGGACATGAGTTTCTCGGTCAGGGGAAGTCCCCGCGGCTCATTTTCTAACAAAACCAAGTGTTGCATTCCTGTGACGAAACAAAAAATAAAATAATTGACAATTGCGTTTGATGACTACTTCAAAAGAATCCGCCGGCTTCCACTTCATTGTCCAACAGTATACGCGGACGTGCAATTGCATTGAAGTTATAAAAAGAGATAATCTAGAGATAAATGAATATTGGCAATAAGCGTAAAGACGCTCTAACTGACTAATGCAAGCAAAAATTGCGTCAGTTGGAGTTCTCTCGCGGCGATCGTCACTTTGACCGTTTCGGCCAAAATCGGCAAGCAAAACAAAATAACAACCATGCTTGATGAAACAACAGCCGATACTGATCATATGGTCTGAATATGGGGTAGCGCAATCAACATTTTTTCGTTTTTAAATTTAATGAGAAAGGTGGCACAAGAGACGCAACTCGATAAAGTTAACAAAAAAATTAGATTAAAATAAAATGAACTCGATTTTCTTAGGTTTTAGATTTTTGGGGGCAGTGAAGTGAATTTGAGAATAATAATGAAGGCATGGGGAATATTGTAGTGTTGTTTATTTTGTGATCCGAGCAGCCGTTGTTGCGTTTTGTGAGCATAAATATGCGCCGGCCTCTGCATTTCGCTTCGTTCGACTCTCACTCGACGGCTGCACTCGCGGAGGATCGAGAGCAGCGCGCGCGATTTATTCTAGACGTTTGCGCGAATTTTATTATTATTTTTTTTTTAGTTAGCGTTGAGATAAAACCTTCAAATTTTCAGAATTGGTAGCGAAGTAAATGAAATAATTTTTTATATCTTATTCTTAAAAATATGTATTTGGAGCAAAGTTATTAACGTTTCCGCAAGAATTTTTTTTATTTTAATATTTTGAAATGGAGAAAAAATTCTAAAAATACAAACCTATACAGGAAATTGTTGGTAATTAAATTTTATATAATATTTTTTAAGACTCCAAGTTGTCAATTTTTTTTTTATTTACCTACGGGAAAATTCATTAGCTTGTTTTTTTTCGTTTCTCTTGCACTTGCGCTCTAATTGACACAATTTTTGCTTGCATTAGTCAGTTTAGAGTGCCTTTTTTCAGTGAGAAGTGTTCTAGATTTTTCTTCGAAACAAAGATGGTTTTGCTAAATAATATGCGCGAAAAACCGCCTGCTGAGTGACGCAAATTGCAAAAGCCACCGGCGTGAAGCTGCGAAATTCTTTTGTGGAATGCATTTTAAATTGTCATGATTCGGAACAGGACGTTGACCAAAGTGAGAAAAATGGCCGGAATCATTTGAGCATGCGAGCGGCGCAATTCGAACGATACGATTTGCTCTTTAAGTCTAACGACCCTGCACGGTTCACCTGATGATCTGACCTTATGTCGAGGTCACTAAGCAGACTCGCCATCAACACTACTTTGGGCGCAAAACCGTCAACCGTGAAATCCTGGCTGATCTTTCAAGCATTGAAATATAAAATTTCCTTATTCCGGACAACTATATAAATATTACGCAAACTAAACCGCGAAAGTTTACTAACCTGTGTGGACGGGATGTTTGCCAGTGAGGAAGGATGCCCTGCTTGGAGTGCAAAGGGCCGGCACGTAGTGGTTGTTTAGGATGAGCCCATTGTAGGCTAGAGCGTCAATATTGGGGGTGGGAATTTGATTTCCGCCATGGAAGCCAACGTCATTCCAACCCTTTAAAAAAAATCATTTGAATCTATTTGAATTTTCATCATAAAATATAATGTCAACATAAAATTAACTTTTAAATTTGAAATTGTATTTAACATGACAGGTAATTATTGAAATTAACTTTTTGAGCTAGAAATCATAAAATATTCCATTTTGATTTAAAATATTTATCTTATGCTCTTTACGAAAAAATTATTTACAAAATGCTCCTAAAGTTTGAGTAATTGCAAGAAATTGTGATAATTAATTTGTATTATTTATCATTGCATAGCTGCAGAATTGCGGTGTTTATTAAATTTCTGACGGTTGCTCTTTTTTTTTAATGTTTATTTGCAAAATTGCTGCTAAAATGTGTGGTATGAGTCAATATTAGTCTCACTGAAAATTGAAAACACAAAAAGTTTTAATATTTACCAAATATAGCACAAAATTAAAGAATTAGCGAAAAACGTGCAACAAAAGGTATAGAAAAACAATTCCTTAAAACGAAAAAATAAAAAAGACGAAGTAAAAAGTCGAATTTATGTGTTTTTTTTCTCTGTTTTTTTCTTAACTTCATTTCATTTTATTTCTAGAAGGAATAAACATTAACAATACAAGTTTATTGTTCTCTGCGGTTTTCTGTTAACATTCACTTAAACAAAGCGGAAGGCAGTGAAGCTAGACCGCATCTATTTGTTTATCGTCTGCCTTGAATAAACACTTTCCGTCCGCGAATTTATTGTGTTACGTTTTTGGTTAATTTAGATAGATTTTTCTTAGTGATTCGATTCGGGACTCTTCTGCTATACTCACCAGGTCGTCGGCTAGAATAACGATTATGTGGGGTTTGCTGTTGGGAACGTCCGCCGCCTCCGACCATCTCCAGACCACCAACAAAGTCAGCAGCAGGTAGAGCTGCATCTTTTCATCAACTAAAACAACACAAAATATGAATAGTAAATTTAGTTTCAATGTAATATATATGAAAATAAAAAAAACTTGCATAAATTAAACCAACTAAAAATTTTACTGCTTAAATAAAAAATTAATTAAATTGATCATTAGCGACATATTTTTTGTATACAAATTTAAATTAACTTAATTTTTAACTCTCATTGCATCTAATTTATTTTGCAATACAGAGATATTAGCAATGTTAGCAATATTAACTATGGAATTACAATAAGTCACAATATACAGTAATAATGTCTTCATATGCATACAGAGTTGAGCTTTTTAGCCCATTTCTATTTATTCAAGACATTAAGTTGGACAATGAAGAAGGGCATTCATTGTAAGTTGATATTTTAAGCAGTAGCATTACCATTACACCGGCATAACACTTTTTTTTAAATATCATTATTACTGGTTACTTTACTCAGTCATTACCGAAACTAAACAAATTAATTTAAAACGTTAAGAAACCTAGTTTCTAAAAGTTGCAGCAGGCTAATGATTGTTTGAAATTCTCCGAGCTGCTCTTTTATCAAGAGGCGATTTTCTGCTCGTCCAAAAACCGTGTGTGCGCTAAACCGCAAGTTTAATGGTTTTTTTGTTCAATGTGCTTCCATAAAGGGTGTTTTATAGCCTAAAAATTTATTATTTAGAACGCATTTCTCGCACAGACCAAAATGAGTTTCCTTGAATTTTAGTGAAAGGGTGGCTTACAGAGAATTAAAATTTTAAGACCTTCATGATCAATGAGGCAGAGAAAAAAATTGTAGATAAAATACTACCAAAAAATTGTTAAACGCATCATTAATTTTTGTAACAAGGAACTACGAACCCTTCTATTTTAAATTCCGAACCGTAAAGTTTCAAACTGGTAATTGAAGATGCGTTGTAATTTTGTTGATAAGTTTATTCCAGTTTGCTTTAGTTATAAAAAAATTCGTGGAATTCTAAAAATATGTGCGATTTAAAAAAAAATAAATGCTCACGTTTCAAAGTTATAGTAGTCCAAATTCTTTACCAACACAATAAAATTGTTACAAAAATGTTTTTCGATAAATGAAAATAACACTCAGAAATTGTGCCTCCGATTAGAAAAATTATGAATATAACAAGAAAATAATATGTTTAAATATATTAAAAATAATAAAACAAATGGATGAATGAAAGAATTTATCCTTTAAATCAATAGTAGTGTATTGATTTGATAAAAAGTACTTACAATTTGTCAATGAATAAAATAACCGGCACTGCGCGTATTAAAAAATTCACTTTCGCCGGTCAGAAGGCACCTGTGAAGTCTCAAGAGCGGTTCCACCGTCACTGAAAAGTAACTGGCTGCATCCTGGCTGCTTTATAGCCGCGGTGCTCACCCACCAGTTTTCTCGATGCAATTCATGGCCAAGGTTGGGATATACCCAATAGCGCGAGTGATACAACAGTAGCGAAACCGCAGCTCTTATGGGGAAGCACGAGATGACTTTTGGTACAGGAGGGATTTAAATTTGAAAAAGCAAATATTTTTCAGGTTACTTGCTTTTATTAGCAACGTTATCACTCAACTAAAGATAAGTCGCTGACCTGCAAGAGTTAAATTGGGCTGTAAACCGCGAATATCCTCACCGCAGCCACTTGTCCCAAAAAAATATTATCAGAGTTTATGGCTTGCAAAGAAAAATAAAGAAAAAGGCTTGGTTTTCAATGCAACAAGAACTGCGCCTAATATTTTTTATGATTGTGTAATTTTTAGCTATTTTGTTTTTCAACTGAAATTTTGCATCGAAAAACAAATTAAATGAAAGGAGATTTTGATTGTAAGGCCGTAAATCGTCAACAAAATAAAGTGACGACAGGATGCTCTCGCACCACGACATTATTTGGAAACATGTTTATAATGCGGTTCAAAGTAAATTTCTTAATCCAAACCCAAACTGGAGGCATGCACGCGATGTGTAGTTCATTGTCTCGGTGCATACTTTTGTAACTAGGTGGCAAAAAGTGAAATAAAATTCATTTTAAATTTAAAATCAGAACACGAGATTTTAAAATGACCTAAAATTTTTAATTCAAGAGAAATTTTGAAGTATTTTTTTTACATTTATCATCTTATTTGTAACAAAGATGTGCTAAAAAATTAATTATATTGATGTTTTGGACGGAATAAAGAATCATAAATCATAAATATAAATTTTTATTAAAAAGTTAGCCGAATTTTCATTAAACCTAAGGATCCAGAGTAAGGACTCGTGAACTAAATACAGAATAAAAATTTTCCATTTATAAAACAAATTCCAGCCAAAAATTACTCAACGGCAAGTAGAGTTTTAATCAATACAGACTGATTGGAAAGGCATTTTACTATTTTTTTTAACCTTTTGTTCCAGAATTTGGCAAATTTATTTTAGTGAACTGTGTCGTCATTCTGATTTTACAGTATGTAAGACGTGAAGTCGTTTTTTTACGAGCAAAAGAAAAAGACTTTACCGTAGAGATTATTGGGCAATGAAACTTATACGACTTAAAAAATTATTTATTAATATTTTAATTTTGGTGTAGAATTTAATTTTATAATTAATTATTTTTTGCTATCCTGTTTTGTGGCGTTTGACAAGTGTTAGTAGATATTAAACTATTAGTGATTAATTTATTTTTCAACCAAAAATGATTTTCCCCAAAATTTTTTTATACTGTTTTTGGTAAAAATTGTTGCTCAACCGAGCAATGAGTAATTTCCATTTCTTCCTGTGTCTTATGTAAAGGCACTCCAGACGTCTGCCAAAACACGCAATTGTGGGTCATGGAGATACGCGTGTGGAAATATGGAATCCCGGCGTGCTTTCGTCATCCCACGCCGCATGGTGCATCTTCTAGATTGACTCGCGCTAGTAGTTTTTTTATGTCCGGTAGTAAACAATGCGTCAAGCTATCTCTCCATGATTAAACGTATGAGACTGAAACAATTAAACACTAAAGACTGTAGAGGACAACCGGCTCAACTCGCGTTGTTCTCTATTAAATAAAATTGTTCAAGGCCCGCATCGACTTCATGGCTTATGTTTACAGACCGCGGCACGATTTTTACGACAATTATCATGCACTCCCCCTCAATTATCGTGTCTGCAGCGAGCAACTTTCATATAATCTGATTATGCATATCGCGTTCCTGCTCGTAGCTGCGACGGCCCTGGATGATCGAGATATAGAAAAAAAGAGCGGATCTGAATGTTTAGCCGCAAAAGCTTCCGTTTCGCGGCTCATCTCGCTTGGTCGTCATCGCTAGGCGAGGATTTCCCACCGACCTCTGCAAATTATGTATTAATTTGCAGACGGCGTTCTTTTGATTGCGCGAGAGAAAAGTTGAAAAGTGACTCATGCGATTTTTCACCTGTCAAAGAGTAACGCTCATGCACATCATGAAATTGTATACTGTGGTTTTTGTTCCGTGAGACAAGAGGCGGGCACCGTCACGCGAAATAAGATTGAAATTGCGGATCAGAGAAGAGTATGGAGTGTAAAAAAATTAAATTGCTTGAGAGCAATCTCCTGCACAGTTCAATTTAGTAAATTACAGTGCAGGGGCTTCAAAATTTTAAGATAAAAAGTATAATCGAAGAACTGAAGACAAAATCCGGCTTAGTCCGGTTTAGGAGGAATTATATAACAAAATAATTTTATGATACAATTTGAAGTACACCAAAATTTTGAAAGTATGAAGTTCTATAAAAAAATACTGCAATTAAAGTTTAGATTGCTAAATATATTTTGATTTGATTTTTCCTTTTTTTTTTTGCAAAAATAAATAGTTAAAAGTTCAAAATAATTATTTCATTTTAACCAGATTTTATTTTTCATTTATACAGACGCCATTTATTATTATTTTTTTCTTAAAAAATAAAAAATAAAAATATACGAAATATTATATGATTAAAAGTACCAAATTCTAAAACAAAAATTATAATAATAATAATTCGTTATTTAAACAATACTCACAACCAAATTTACTGTGGTCATTATTAAGCCTGCGTCAGCCGTAGGAAGTACTGTGTGAATTGATTTGTATGTATGTTAATTGATGGCATGCGGCCGCACAACGTTTACCCGCTCCAACTGCACAACTTCTAATTGTCAGATGTGTCAAGGGCAATGGGCCTTCATTACTCTGCCATGCAAAGCGAATGAAAACGAGAGCGGGTGGAGACGCCGGATCACTTCTGTCACGCACTCGACCTGCATTTGTGATATTGTGTATTAATAATTTTTGCTCACCGTTTTACATTCTCGTTTATTGTGATATACTTGATCGGCGAGATTTAGGGCCACTCGCTCGCGAGATAATAAAAGTCATGCACCATTAACGCGCTCAAAGTCACCGCTTCTTACGTAACACACCTGTTAATTCTTATCAATCTCCTTTGTGTTTTATTTGCAGCTTTATAAAGTTTATTCCTTATTAATTAAATTGTAAATTTTCAGGGATTACTTAAAGTGGCCAAATGATGCAAGCTTCAGTAAATCAAAATATTTGTCGAGCGCACCGTTCGAAGGAATCACTTTCCCTTTCAAGAAGTGCACTTAGGTGTTTTTATTTGACCAAGAGCGCGTTTCCCTCGCGGTGACCTTAAAAATTTTTGTTTCATTAGGCTCATTGTCTTCCAAGCACCATCTGTTCTACGATCATCCTCCGAAGAGTTGCGAAATTTACTTCCTTGATTTTATTTTTCTTGAGGCCAAGTAGAAAGTCTCATTAGTGAGACAAAGTTATAAGTTAAATAGAGCAGTGGCATCTCAGGAAGTTTTTGAAGTGCATCTTAAAAGTGGCCATTGTGATTTTATTTAAATTGTTGCGAATATGATTTATTGAAAATCAATTAGGTTAATTGCACCAACATTATTGACAAATTTGATATTTAAAAAAATTTACAATAGAGGAAACAAATTAAGCATATTTTTTTTATTAAAAAAAATCAGAACAAATTCAAAGTTTAGTTAGAAATATATTTATATATTTTGAACTAATACTTTAAAATTGAAACAAAAATATTGACAGGAACAGTTTTTCTCTACCTTAAATGAATTTTAAAGTCGTTTTTTTTTTTTTTTTACAAAAAGCTGTTTTTCAACATTTATAAAACGAAAAAAATCACAAATTATTCATACACCCATTAAAAGCTTGATAAAACGGAATTTTTGCACTTACAAAGCACACGGTGTTTTGCAGGTGTTGTAAATTTTTCGCAGCTCCAACACGCGGGCGGCGAAAGTGCCTGACGCAGACTGATGTGTGCGCGGCAAACAAACGCGGCTTAGGACCCAACCTGACAAACAATTAATTTTTCACCCAGCCACCGTGGAGGTTAGCGCTCATTATCCACACAGCAGTTGTGGTGAAAAGCCTTTCACGTTTCATTCACAAAATAATTGAGAGGCATTTTCCTATTTCGCTGTTCACTCTTTCTGAACGAATCGCGAATGACAGCAAGAAAAAGAAAGAAAAAAAGAGTGATTGTTAATTTGCGAAAACTCAAAGGCGCGAAATTGATGGCAACCTAGCTCTATTTATTCACATTTTGATACTTTCTTTTTTTTCGGATTGAATGCATTTGCCAATTTTTATCTACTTGACAAAAACGAAGATTTTGCAAGGTCTAATTATTCTGGTTGGATGAGCACCACGCTTTTCCGTCATTTTATTCATCAACATTTTTACTTGATACATAAAATTAAAGTAATGATATTAAAACAGCGTCTTTAGCTTTTTTGGTGCCGACATCTATTCAGGCTGGGCTGAAACATCTTGGAGCATTTTTCCAGCGGTGAACTCTACCTTGAAGCCTGTCAACTATTAAATTGATAAACAGGCGCCAAGAAGAGTTGTGGCGCTCCGGGATTGGCTTGTATGCTTTAACTTTTGACTGAAATAGACAGCCAGTCCATTGTTCTCCTGTGAGAGATGGATCGAATCTTGAATAGCAAGGTAAGTGCAGCCAAGTCTCTTTATTTCAGTAAATTTACTTATTGAGCAATCAAAAGTTTCGGAATTTAGTTTGACAAATCTATATCGTTTTGAGACATTGTTTTATAACCGAATGATTTCCTGTCAAACACTCATAACAAATTAAAATTATCTTTTAAACCCCGCGCTGGACAACAATCTTGTTTGCTTTTTGATAGCGAAATCAGAGAGATAAGGGCTGATACTTCCTCTATCGCAGAATAATCGATTAAATTGATTGATTTTCAACCGCTGTTGCTTATTGATGAGCACCAATCAATGCCCCAATGACGCGCCGTCCTCTCTTTCAAGGGATGATTATATGAAAGCACCGACTCTTTACTCCAATACATAAAGCACCATGGAATACATAGATATGTGAAACGTTGAGGGAATGATTGATGATAATGGGGTGTAGGAAAATCACAAATGATTGATGCCTTTGATTGTGAGCACAAGATAAAATGTCTAAAATAATTTTTATATAACGCGTACCAACTTTTTCAGTTTCAGCAAAATTCTTTCTATTGGCAGTGCCTCTTTTTCCAGTAATTTCCTTATCTCTTAAAAAATGGTTTTCAATAATTGAATTTAAACGATGATTGATTGTAACCATGTAGACAAATAAACAGCAATTAAATAATACTTTTTCCAGCGTGTTACGTAAGTTCAGGCATACATCACATACATTACATCACATGCTATTAATCCGTTTTAAATTTTTAATGCTCTATTTCATTTTTGCCTTTTGCTTAAATGTTCAATTTTAACATTAAATGCAAATTAATGTACATATAGGATATAGCATAACTATATTTATTTTATTATTATTATTATTGTTGTTGTCAATTATTTGTCCAAATTATTAAATCACATTGTTTACATTCAAATGATGAAACAATTTATTTTAAAAGCAAGGAATTGTTGGACAAAACGGCAGCACAACTTGCAAAAATAAAAAATATTTATGCTTTATTCCGCTTTATTCATAGTTTATGATATACGTTTTATGTATCAATACAATCAATACAATAAATTGTCAAACATTATACAAGGTCGACAATATCTAATGCCTTTATTGATTTATAAATTTAAGCGTTTAAAAATTATATATTTTAAGCAATGAATATTTTTAACAAACTGAGAATCTTAAAGTACTACACTGCCATATTGGAGCAGTAGATTCTCTACTAAAAAGTCAAACAATTATATCTCTGTGGAAGAGCTGCTACAGCTCTATTGGATCAACAATGGAACTAATAGCTCTTAGTATTATTGAAAATTAAACTTGTTTAATCTTTAGTTTTTGATTAATTCAAGACCATTGTATTTTATTTTATTTCACTGTTGCAAATTGAAACTTAGATCCACCTTGGATCCACCTTTAATTGCTCTTTACTGTTGCTTTGCGAGCTGCGTACTTACTTTGAAGCTTGCTTAGATGAAGGAGTGGATTTATTATTTAAACAATTTTGCTATCAAACTAGTCAATTCAGAAATTGTGTTTGAAATTGGAAACTGAAAAGTGTAAAAGTATCTTTGTGAGCAGCAAAAAAGTAGCTACTCTGATGCTTTCAAAGCATTTCGAAACAATCTTCCCTTTGGTTGATGGGCAATTTAATGGCAAATGTGTTCATCCTATGTTAACCTCTCCCACAGGACTTGCGAAATGCGCTAGATTACTCTGAGATTACGACTTGAATTTATCTTTTCGCGCCGAGGGACATCTCGCTCTCTCGGTGTGGCAATGTCGGTTTTGCAAAATATTGAATTCCTCTCCGCTCACCCCGTGTGGGTGGATTGTCGGGGTTGCACGAGCTGGTGCGCGTGTTCGCCAGTGACGTCACCGGTGCCGAGCACCAATGGCTGCTGCAAACACGGCCCCACGGGAACGGCAAGCTGCAAGGGCCCCGAAGGAGCAGCGACTGAGAATCCGCAGCTGCCTCAGTGTTGCTTCGACGGACGACCCACCGTCCACTTTCATCCCCCGTTGTGCAAACACGCAGCTACGTTGGAAGGCAAAATCCTGAATTTCCTCAATAACCTCTCGCCGCTCACGAATTCACTGAGGGAGCTAATGGTGAGATTATGTCATTTATTCCTCAAAAAGAAAGAAAGCTCTGACTTCATGGATTTCAAATATAAGACAATTATATTTAAGTTTTAAATATTGCCAATATTTTGCTTGTATTGAATTTATTTTAAATTATTTACAGAAAAATGAAGATGGTATGATTTAGTAAATAACAACTGTTGAAATGTTGGATTATTTAATATTGTTTATCTATACTTGCTAGGCCTAAATTTTGCTTAAATTGACCCTATTCCCACTGCAGAAATCAGCTCTAAAATATACGCTAAAATTCTTAAAGAAAGCCAAATCACCTCGGGGTTAAAATTATCATAGTTTTCATACATTTGATTAGGATAGTTACTTTTTTATTTTTTAGATTTCTGCTGAGGGAACATTAAGGGTTAAAATGTTTTTTTTTCTCTCAGCTTTGGTTATATTAAATCACACCAAGACTGAGATGGAAATGAAATTAATCAATAAATGTGTTTTCTTTCAACGTGTAATTAATTCCTGCTTTTAAAATCACTTTAAAACGAACCACGAAAGCTTTTATTCCACCCAAAAAATCGTGTGTAGCGACCACTTTCCCAATTCCAGGGCTTTAATCAAAAAGTAATTACACCCCTTGCAACTCTTTTATTAGAATTAATGACCACTCGGCGCGTGGTTCGAGTTTTCCCGCACCCTTTTCTCCGTCGTCATGTGCGTGCATCACACACATTGATTTCGCAGCCGACCAACGTGACAGGTCGCATGAAGAATAATGCTACTTTCCCAGAAGATACACGAAGAAAAGGGACCACAGCAGATTTGTTGCTAGGCAACTTGGAGAGCACGCTTGCGATGCGGGTTGCATACGCAGAGAGCCTCGCAGGCGCCCTATCTAAATAAAGAACTATATATACACGCGCAGCGCGGCAGTTAACGTTTTATTGGCACAGCAGGCGTGGATTTGAATAAAAATGCTCAGCAAATTGGCTCGCAGGGTTATCTGGCGCGGCTGGCGAAATCCCTGTGTCACTTTTACGTCCACGGAGGCACATTTCGCTAACGCGATAGGGGGTTTGCTTCTCGGAGAAGAGCACCTAATTGTATTTTACGACGTGCCATCAAGCCGCGCAGTGCTGAATTTTTCAAAGCTCATTCTCTGGAATGGAAACTTTGCGCTAGTGAGAAATTGCTCTCAGCAGGCACCAACTTCGTTTATGCAGATTGAGAAAGGTTATTTTAAATGCAATTTACAGGCAATGCCATTCGCCACAATTAGGATCAATAAAAACGAACAACCTCTATTATTCAAACTAACTTTAAAAATTTATAGAAAATTTTATTACATTCACTATAGTTTATCAATTCTGATAAGATTTAAAACTTGACATATTTTAAAATTTATTCATTGATTTTTGTATGTTATTTTCCCAAAAATGACTAACAAAAGAAATCAAATTTCAACCTTAATTCTTACTAAAAAAAAAGCACAATTACCGATGTGGAAGTTCCCCTGCTTTTTTTTAGAAACAATGAAAGCTCTTATAAATGATTTTCAACTGATCAGGAATTTAATTTTCTGAAAATTGTCAGTTCCTTTTTGATGATTATTTCTTGCGACTTTATCTTCTTTCCAATTGTTGTAAATAGACGCGGCAGAGGGGTGGCGAGCAAGAAGTTGGCGAAACTGTGCACGTGACACCTCCCACAGATCCACCGGCGGAGATGTACCTGCCCCAGGAGGACGATCAAGAGCCCTCGGAGCAAGAACGGTTGGCGGTTGTCGAGCGTAGGGGACGCAGAGTGAGCAAAGCCCAGCTCAAAGGTTTGGAAACTTTTGTAAAACTACTCACGAAAAGCTTTTCACCGTCGACAATAATGTCATTGTCTAGCCGAGTGCAAAGACATAAAATACAAAGCCGCCGCAAAGTTAACAGTTTTGTTTCCGCAGAGTTTCGCGACGCCTTTCGTCTCTTTGACAAAGACGGCGACGGCAGCATCACGCAGGAGGAGCTGGGCCGCGTGATGAGGTCGCTCGGGCAGTTTGCGTGCGAGAGGGAGCTGCAACAAATGCTCAGAGAGGTCGACATCAATGGTGAGAGACTCCTTCGTATTCTGGTCAAGTATACATGCAATTACTAAGCAGAAAGACTTGAATGTGGAATTCTCAGTGCCTTCATTCAATTAAATTTTATTGTTCAGAACTCGGAATCTGATTAAAAAAAGAATACAATACTGGAAGTATAAAAGTTTTTCTATAGATTTTTCTTGGTCCAAAATTTAAATTTTCCGTTATTTGTATGTAAATTTGTATTACATATTGATTATTGAAGTAAAAGTTTCAATTTTTTTTTTTCAAATAAAGTTGAAGAACTTATTTTTATTAAATTCTTAAATTATTTTGGGCTGGGGAATAAATTTAATAAACAAATAGTTCTGTTTTTTCTTCTTTTTTTTATTAAAATTAGGGAATTGGCGAAAAGTCAAATTTATATTTCTAAAATTAATTGTGGAATAATCAAAATTGTAACGTTCGTACTTACGTTTAGATTACTTAACAAATAAAATTTTATCTAAACAGGCTCTAGCTTTCTTGATTTGTATAATCATCCAATCTTATAATGAGCTATAACCCATTAATCTAATTGTAAAAATCAAGAAAATTAGGATCAGATTTCAGAAACAATTTTAATTATCTCTTCTTGGATACTTAAATTCACAATTTTACAAACAAAGAAGTTGTAAAGCCACACACTTTCATAGCAGTGTTTCAATGAAAGATAAAATATTCTTTTTCTGAATCAAATAGTTTTAAATACCAAAATAGAATTTAAATTTGAAAATTACAAATCGTATGCATTTTATTGAAATCTTTTGCTCAAGACTTTAGCGAAAGGTCGGAGGCAAGAAAGTCTCGCTTAATTCCACAAGGGGGTTGAATATGAATGTGGCAGAAATTGCCGTGGGCGAATTCCAGTGAATGGGAATGGTGATTGCGCGGCTCTCATTGTTGAACATCCCGCATCTGCATTCTCTCTCTGCTCCCAGCAGGAGTTTCTTTGCCGAGTCTCTGCTCTTTTCCAACACCCACGCCTTTTTCCAACGCTCACACTCTCTTTTCCAGCCACTCTCTCACAGAGACACATATATTTCTATATAAAATTGGCTGCTGCTGCATCCTTTGAAAAAGAGAGACTCGGTCGAGAGAGAATAATCCGCGACGGCGTCAAACTTATTTCGGCGCCGCATCGATCGTCGCTGTGCAAACACGGCGCTCGAATATACGGCCGAATTAAAGCCATAAAAAGCAGTGGAAATGAGCGCGCGGGTGCGTGGGATGATCTAGATTGGGCCGCCGCCGCCGTTCTCTTTAGCAACCCTATAAAATGAGAATGCTCGCGCACCACTGAATGCTTGCGAATGAAAAAAAAATATGTGTCTGCTGAAGCAGTTGAGAGAGACGCGTTTTTCCAGATGAATTAGCTTAATGCGAAAATGACATATATGAATGATTCCTGTTTTGTGAAATCATAATTTATTATTGCAGGCGACGGCAAGTTCAGCTTTGACGAGTTTGTTGAAATCGTTTCAAATATGAATGACCAAGAAGATGTGGGAACACCAACAAAAGACCAAGAGGAAAAAGAGCTGCGAGATGCCTTTAGGGTATGGTTATTTGAAAATTTTAATTATAAAATATAGTAACTTTAGAAAAAATCTGCAAAATTTAAATGGATCCCATCTGTGGTTGAATTATATTGTTATTATTATTATTATATTTTTTTTTTTACAATTTTTTATCATTTAGAAAAGAAATTTTTGTTGATATTTTAAAAATTTAAAAGCAGTTATAGCCTGGAAGATTAAATTTTTTTTTTCACCGAGTTTCAGGTTAAATAATTAATATTATATACTAAAATATTTCAGGTGTTTGACAAGCACAACAGAGGGTACATTAGTGCTTCAGATCTGCGAGCAGTTTTGCAATGTTTGGGAGAGGATCTGAGTGAGGAAGAAAGTGAGTCTTTTTTAGTGCATCAATCAGGGCAAACTCTGATTTTTGCGGAGCATTTTATTGGGTGCAATTTTTCTTATACCCAATCAGACAGCTCAAACAACAGCACTACAATTATGATTCATTGAGTTGTGATGCTCAAACTTTTGCTGAAGTACTTTCAAATATCACCCTAACAAAAATTCCTTCTCCGAAATAAGCAGACGCCAAAATAAATAAAATAATTATTATCTTATTTTTCAGTCGAGGACATGATCAAAGAGGTAGACGTAGATGGTGACGGAAGAATTGATTTTTATGGTAACTTGAATATTTAATGTTATGCTGAAACATGCACTTTCTTTTACTTGATTTAAGATAAATTTCCCACTTTCCAGAGTTTGTGCATGCACTTGGAGAACCAGGAGAGGATGATGACGAGGACGATGATGACCTTGGTGTCAACGACTTCTAGATAAACCGAAACAAATCAAGGCTTCTTTCTCATATATTACACTACAATCTATCCCTCTGCCGCCGGATCAAAGGCCACTCTGGTCGATCTTTATGCAAAAAATCAAACATATTGCGCCACATTCTTTGTGATTTTAGTTTATTTCTTATCTCAACCAAGGTGGATTGATAAACAAACAAACTGATGAGCTTACGAAACAAATCATTTTCAGTAAGAGTAACGAATGCTAAAAATATATAGAGTTTTTTGCTTTCATTATGTGGAAATGCGTGTATTTTGAAACAAAAGTTGCTGCACATTAGGTGTATAACCTGTTTTACAATAGTAATTAGCAATTTTGTTCCCTCTACGTTGTAAGACTATTAACGTCAAATTAAAACTTCCATATCGAAATGTCAAAGCACTCAAATAAAATTCCTCCCTTTTCCGAGGACAAAAAAATTTATGTACTGACTTCAATTTCACAACCTATAAACCAAATCAACAATTTAAATTAGTGAGTAAAGACAAAGGAGAAAGAGTAATTTTAGTAGAGATAACAAAGCTGGCGTCTGGTCACATGTTCGATCACAGCGAGGTATTTACTTTCAAAGGTCAACTCGAAGTCAACAGATTGGGCGGCATGTGACCTGTGTCTCCCAGAGCCCTCAGGGTAACTCGGCCACTTGGCTGAACACTTAGCCAGGTGATGGAACCATGCTGCAGTGAGAAGCGCAACCAAGCTTCTGGAGGGAACTGAAGGGCTCTAAAAATATCAATAAAATAATGTAGCTGAAGACAAAACTTGAAAAAATATTATCTAATCAAAATCTTAAGATATATTAGGGTGATGATTGTTTTGCAATCTTTACTAAAATAGACTCTTGCAATAAATACCTGCACACAAAGTACCGGATCACATTTGCATGACAGACTAGCACATCATACGAATCATGTTCCTGTCCTGGATCTGCTCTGTGAAAATGCTTACGAAAGGCGGCTTCGATCCTCGCTCCATCCTCAAAGAACTGCTGTTGGCAAACAAGCCACTTTAATAAATTTTAATTCAATTCCTTAATAGAACGGCACATTACAAAGTTAGATTTATTTGTCGCTAAATTTCCCCGGATTCAGCAATTCAATCAAAATTTAAATCAACTTACGTGCTGTTCTGGTCTCCAGTGCCCGACAGGGGGCTCTGGAGGAACGGGGGCTCCTTCATGAAGAAGCGGGCAAGTCTCGCTGGGAATGTCTTTGTGCAAATGCTTGCTGATGATGTTGGCGGTTTCGATGGCCCTCGTCATTGTCGACCTGATCAAACTCGAGTACGGCAGAGCCAGCTCTGCCAGTCTGCGGCCTGTCAGATCTGCCTGCTGCTGACCTGGAGATTTAAAATTATTACTCAAAAATTTCAAACTCCTATTAATTTTATACCAATTTCAGTGAGGGTTCTTTCTTTGTCCATTTTTCCTGACATGTTGTACTGTCCGTGTCTGATGAGGAGGATGTGTCTGACGACGGTAGCCTTGGCAGAGCCTGTGTTCTCTTCAGGGACGTCGTACTTTCCATCCTTGCCCTTGATCGGTTTCACCAAACTTTTGGGATCTCTCCTGATTAAAAAAAATTATTATTTTAGTTTAAATTAATAAAATAAACTGCATCTCAACCTGTCCCAATTTGAGTCCCATTTGGGATGGTACTCCTCTGGCGCGACATGGGGCACCGTCCACGACGCAGCGACCCTTTTCTTGTCCTTAAACGCTGAATAAAGAAGCAGGGCTCCTCCGGCGGCGCCAAGTCCGCTGATGATTCCGCGCATTGTGCGTCGAGAGCTGCTACACAACAGTTTTTGCGGCACGTAAATGAAGCAGAAGACCTTGATATAAGCGCCGACTTGTTGCAAAATCAAGCGTGATGCGGAGTTTGGAGTGGAACCAGTTTTTTATATGACCGGATTCAGAGTTCAAATTACATAAATGGGCTAAGTTTCGAGTCTCTTGTGAAAATGCCGACAAAGAGACGAGCACTGGAATTTATGATGAAGGGCTTTGTTTTCAGAAATTTGTGCGGACTGCGGCAAAGTTAAATAGTCTAATTTGCGAAATAGTTCAACGTGCTCCGTCCGACTGTATAGGATGTGGTCCTTTTCTTTTCTCATTCGGAGAACACGCAAAATCGCAGACCGCAGTCGCAGCAGCAGCTAGACCAGATGAAAGGAAAATGGGAGGGGCTACGATTATTTTTTAAGAAGAACCGGAAAATATAACCGGTTTCTATTTACATTGACATTCTAAATGTAAGTTTTTGAACAAAAACCGGTTTGTCCAGCGGTTTCATACCGGTTTATAAATAAATCTGATCTGCTTTTGTAGTTCGATCCGGTCCGGTCGTCAGGTAAATGTTTTTCTTCTGAAAATTATTTAAATCAATGTAATTAAGATGCTTTACGTTAGATAATTAATTATAATCAACAAATTTCAGATTTTTGGAGCCAAACCTCTGGAAAATTCTTTATTACGGTGAATTTTTGATTGAATTTCCAAGCAAGCAACGTCACAATGTGGGAGGACACGATTCTGATTGTCTTTATTTCCATTTTCACTGCACTTCTTGGTGAAGGCAAGTGCTAATAATAATTGCGAATAATTGGTCAGATGAACCGATCATTAATTTGTTTATATCTAGGTCTCACTTGGTACATGGTGTACAGAACTGAGAAGTACCAAAAGCTGAAGACTGAGGTTGAAAGACAGAGCAAGAAATGTATGTTATACATCATTTTGATTTGCGACTAATTTGTATTGATTTGTTTGTTATATCAGTGGAGAAGCGCAAGGAGGCTCACGGAGAATCGATCGACAAGCAGCAAAAAAAGAAAATCGAAAGGGACGAGGAGAAGTTGAAAAACAACAACCGTGATTTGTCTCTTGTTAAAATGAAGTCTGTGCTCTTCATCGGTTTTGCTTTCACGGCTCTTCTGAGCATGTTCAACTCTGTGTAAGATAAGGAAAGATTCGAAATGTTTCTCAAATTAAGTTGTAATTTGTTTTATAGATTCGATGGCAGAGTTGTTGCAAAGCTGCCATTTGTTCCGATTACTTGGCTTCAGGGGCTCAGCCACAGAAACCTCTCCGGAGATGACTACACTGATTGCTCATTTATATTTATTTACATTCTTTGTACCATGTCTATTCGACAGGTAAGATCATTAAGATTATATTTATTTTTCATAAAATGTTAAGGAATTTATTTTTTTATAATCAAATTCGGTAATTTTATATTAAAGCATTTATATTTTACAGAACATCCAAAAGTTGCTGGGCTTTGCGCCTTCCCGCACTGCTTCGAAACTCAGCGGCAACATGTTTGGAGCACCGCCCCAGCAGTTCCGATAAAGCAGTTAGAACTTTCCACACCGCCTCCGAGCCGTGTATTTTGAATCGTTGGCAGTCGATTTTCCTTGACGTCTGCGACGTTCCTTTTTTTCATTAACCCAGTCCCTGGAATGTTTTACGCTCTTTCCCCGCTGGACTCTTTGACGTTTGCCACGCTCCCTGGAAGGAAAGGAAACAGTTTTGTTGCTTAAATTTGTTTTAAATAATGTAAAATATTAAATTATTGATTAAAAATGATAATCACCTTTCGCTTGAATATGAAACTTGATCCTCCTCCTGCTCTCCAACTCCTGTTCCAAGGGCTTTGGGCAAAGATTGGGCGCCTCCAGTCATTAAAACCAGAAATACTTTTTTAGCTTTTGTCGAGTGGGGATAGTCGATGACCAGGCCACCGAAAAAACCTGCCCTTGTGGCTTGTGCCATGACAAGTTCTGTTTGCTGGTTGTTCTCCGGATAGAACTGAAGAACTGCCTTTGCGCCTCGTCTCTGGAAGAAAACATGCAAATTTGATAATAAAGTTATACAGGAATATTTATCTTGTAAGAGTAATTTTTAAAACTTTTTAGTAGAAATCTTATGACAATTTATACTTACCAGGCAGGCATAGAGTGACGAGAAAAATGCAAGCAGTCTTTTAGAGGGTTTGTGTCCAGCTTTGTCAGCGTTGCAGAGCCACTGAAGGGCACTAATGCTGATGGCTCCATCAAAAGCTCCAGCTCTGAATGGAAGACCCTGGCCAAGGTCACCGAGAATCAAATCACCTTCCATTTCTCGCTCTCGGGCAACATCTATAAATATTTTTTAGCTTTTCAGAGAAATATTTATTTTTATTGATAATAAATTACCAAGCATTGCTTTTGAAATGTCGACTCCGACCCAAGTGTGTCCTTGATCCTCGAGGATGGAGCCACTCAAGCCAGATCCACAGCCCAAATCCAAAAGGTGGAGGTGCTCGTCCTCCGGAAGGGCTAGAAGTTCGACCGCTCGTTCCGACATCGTCAACTGGATTTCAATCATTCGGGAACTGAAATTTAAAATTATCCATTACTCTGACTCGCATGTATAAATTAAAAGATTTTACTTTGACGTGTATTTTCTTGATTCATCCACTCCGTAGAACTGAAATTGAAAAAAAAGAATGTTTGATAAATTCGGATAAATTAATAAATGTATTATATTATAATATTATTAATTAATAAAAAAATCAAGCTGTCATTACGATTTCTGGAGGGGCCAAGTGTTCGGGTCGTCTTGCCATTTTGAAAACTGGATTCAACCTGCCTCGGGACGAAAAAACCAAAATGAAAATCACTTGGACGTGAAAAGCATGGTTTTGTTTTGAAGAATCATGTGCAGTGAGATCCGATTGGTTTAGAGGAAATGCAAACGGGCCAATGGCCAATGAGAGCGTAGCTCGGTTCAAAGAGTGGCGGGACGAGCATGCAGAGGCGCCGGCGGCCGGGCCGGAAAGTGCGAGGGTGGAGTGCACAGCAGCAGCAGCCAGCACAGGGATGCGCACCGCCGGCGCCGCCTTTGCTCTGCTCGGCGCACACGCACGCACCAGCACCGAATAATTATTGCTTTCCAGCTAGTAGCTTTTCGGCTCGGAGCGGGTGCGGATATCGCCAATCTCGACTCTGCAAAATCACAGAGACAAAAGCAAGCAAGGAGCAGCTTCTCCTCCAGCCTGGATTTCGCCCTAGAATGATCGTCGCTGCCGAGGTACCCAATTTTCCACTCGCAATTTTTCATTTCATTTCCTCTCTGCAGTCGCTGTTGAACTTGATTATTTTATTTTTGCGTGCAAATTTAATCTCGTGACCGTCGACCTTTCCGGCGTAATTTTATTAATACAATTCGTGGCAAGAGGCGCGGCTGTGCATACCTGTCCTCTATATTTAAAACACCGAGAGTGGAGCCTTGAGTGATTCTCCACAAAGGGATGACATGTTGGGCTAACAATAAGCCACAGATGAGAATAGCTGTGTGCGTTCCACGGCTTTTTGCGCTTGGCCTCCTATGTTTGGAACTTTGTTAAACAACGCTTTGAATTTTTAAACGAAGCGAAACAAGACCGAAATATTATAGCAGCTTGGAAAGAATTGTGGCATAATTCATGAAATATTTATAATATAAATAATTTTAATGCAACAAACTGTTATAATTTGATATAAAATTTAAATTTTTGATCATATTCAAATTAATTTGATCATTCTCTCCTCCCTTAAAAGTAAGTCATACAAAAAATTAAATTTTGCTTTGGAAGTTTTGAAAGTAATTGTTCAAAAATTAAGCCGAGAACAGCGCAAAAAATTAGAGTTAAATGTAAATATATAAATAAAAAAAAAATACATTTTCTACAAAAAATGCAGTTTTTAAGAACGAACTAAACAATTTTTAACGCAGAAGTTAGCAGGGAATTCCCCTAATTTGTTTTCAGTACGTGAATGAAAAAAATTTATAATTTTTCCCTCAAGCTTGACTAATTTTGAGGCATTTGTAAAGCTCTTCGTGAAAGATTTTGGTAGCATTAAAATATTATAGTCTGTAGCGAATAGAGTCGTTTGAAATTTTGACTTGCCCGAAACGCTGGGGAGCCCTTTAGCCTATCTTTATCGGCTTGTGTCGAACTAACGGCCGCACTATTCTATTTCATGTCTGGGCATTAAACACCAATTTTTACGGCTTTTTAAAAGCCGCGTAAAACCAAAGCACTCTCACGATTAGTAATTTTTTACATCAAGTTGCTGTGGGACCAAAAAATAGTCGCAATTTTTTAGATATTTGTTGGAAACATTTCGTGATTTGACATAGGAATTTAATTTCGCAAGGGATGTGAGTAAAAAAAAAATGTGAAGCCTGTCGCTCTACACGTGGAGGGTACTATTCCGTGAAAGAATCTTGTTCACAGCTGGTCTGCTCGCCAATCTAATGAAGGGCACTTTACACTTTTGTAAAAGTGCATTTTTAATACGTGAAAACTTTTAGAAATGAAGAGATGAGAGACACGCGAAAGGTAGTCTCTTGACGAGCGGGCGCGGCAGCGGCGGCGGATGCTCTTCAATTTCAAGAGCCTTCTTGTTCTTCCTAATAATGTATTTACTCAGTCGCCGCCGCCGCCGCCGCTTTGCCATATGTTCTCGCGCCGCGCGAACATTGTGTGGCCTCAAGTGGTGCTCTCTATCTTATCAAACGTCATCGTCCAAGATTTGCAACTGCACATTCGTCAAATATTTGGTTTGGCGCGCGGCAAATGTTTGTCCGATGAGTAATTAATTGTTCCGAAAATCAACAGAATTTCCTACAGAAGTTGTGAAACTAAAAAAGCAAAGCGCAATCACAATAATTAGATTGAATTTAATTGATGCCGAGAGTTCTGATTGGGTTCAAAAGCGTTCCCAGCAAAATCATTAGGCTGAAACAGCAGGCTAATTGTTTTTCATTGTTATGATGCGCAAACCTTGAAAAAAAATTTAAAATCTGTATCTTCTGAGAATTATTTGTCACAAGTCGGCAATGCTCAGCAATTTAAGAAAAAAAAATGAAAACAATTTTAGTATGAACAATGCAATTGAAGGAATAATGGAAACAACATAGTTGTTATATTCTGTTACAAAAAAAAAAAAAAAAAAAAAAAAATGGAAATGACTAATTTTTATCCATGATATATTAAGAGATTGATAAAAATTAATATTAATGGTAGGAATCAAATTATTTTTATTTTAAAATAATTATTCTAGGCATGAATTAATTTCTTATTTATTACAAAATAACATTTATTCAGGCGGAATATTTATAAATCTTTGTGAAAACTAATCTTGCAATTTTCACACTAATTGTAGAAAACTAGAAAGCTTCATCAGAAGAAGAAGCATAAGCTATAATCATGGCTTGAGGGACACGAACAAAAACCAAATTGGTTAGGCGGAAGAGAACTTTTTGATCTCAAAAGCTTTAGCAAAATATTTGATAGTGGTTTTTGTCCTACAAGTCAATGTTTCATTCTATTCTATGCTAAAATGTATCTCTTGTTTTTCAATGTTTGTGTAAAATTGGGCGTTTTAATGAGTATATTAAAATCCGAGAATTTTCCCTTTTATGATTAGAAAATGTGTACTGTAATATTAATAACATTAAAATTTTAGCAAATATTAATTTAAAAAAAAAAATTGATGAATTCAATGCTTTTATTGACCTTGATTATTGCTGGCTTCTTTAAAATATTTTTAATTAGAGAATTTTATTATACCGAATTATTATTTTTCTTTTTTGATGATTATTTTCAGAAAACCTTAATCTCTGTTTAGAAAGAGTCGTTTTGATCAATAATACTCTTTATATCAAAGAAAGAGTAATTGTGTGAAACATGCGGGAACGTGTTGACCGGATTAGTATGTAATTCTCTGAACTCGGAACTGGGTGAGCTCGATAAACTGATAAGAAATTACGTTTGTGCGTTCGCAGTCGGCTTATTAACCGATGCAAACTGCAGTGCTCAGAATTAAATATAGCAGTTCACCGTTTGCCGAGAGCAATTAAACAGAGTGTGGTCGCACGTGAGATCGTCTCGCGATTAAACTCAAATTCCAAATTGCTTTTTCTTCTAAATGTCATTTCCTGTAACTTTTCCCTAAACTCGCCGACGGTGGAAGGGGACACGCAGTTACTTGATCTGGCAGCTCTCACGCCCTGGTGCCCAAAAGTATCATTTTTGCGACACCATCGCTCAAAAGCAAGCTTTGTGTAGGGCGCCATTCACGGCGTGATCTCTCTTTGCAAATATTTTGTCAACGCCACCACTGCGGTTCAAATGAGTGTTGGCTGACGAGATGAGAGAGAGAGAGAGCTTTTGTTTTCAGAAATACCTGCGAGGAAGCGAGAGAGACTTTTCCGTATTTAAATCTGCTCTTCTCTCTTCAAAAAGCTGCTCCGTCTGCCTTCCTCTCTCTCACGCGCTTGAAGAGAGCAAACACACAATGCCATTAAAAGAATTGAATAATCGATAAATTCGCCCTCCCTTTAAAAATCGGCTTTGCGCTGAACAATCAGATGCTGGAATGACGCTAAATCTCTTAATCTGTGGGATGAAATGCCGGAAAGATAAATTTCCCCTCTCTTTATGGTTCTATCATTTGTCTTTAAATTTGTTTTAATACAAAAATTTAATTATTTTTACTCAAAATTTGTGTTTTCATAGTGTTGTTAAAGACAAAAAAAATTATTGTGTTTTAGATAATTGAAAATATTACTTATGCCTAATGAGTAAGGAGTTGAGCTGACATATAAGCTTAATGAAACTGCAAAGTAATAATAAAAATATTTGTATAATAAGCTTTACGATGTCTATTAAACAATATAAATTAGAAAAATTAAAAAAAAAACCTGAAAAAACTGCATTATATTATTATGATTTAAATAAATAAATAGTATCTAAAATTACGAAGAAATGTATGATTAACTAACTCTTAATATGTCAACTCAGTCAACTGTCAAACTATTAACTATAATTTTACCGAATTTGATTAATTTATGAATAGTTATTTTTGTAATTTAAATGTTTAATAAAATTATAGAGATCCGCGATTTATTATTATGGATACCAAAGCTACCAAATATTTTTCTCTAAAAGTGTTGTAAATATTCATTTCACTCTGCTCTCTACTCATTTTGTCATTCGAGCTTTGAAAGCAATTATTCTGCAAGCTGTCTGTCCAATGTCAAATTCTGCTTGACCTCTATTCGGATCATTCGATTCGGCAGCGCGGTGCCGCATCCGCTGCTTCTCGTATGGAGATTTGGGGGCTGAACTGGGATTTTATTGAGCGGATGGGTGTGCGCTGATAACTCTCACAAATCGCGTCCCTCAAGTCCACCTAACCTTTCCATTCGGCAGCAGCCGTTCGTTCGGCGCAAAATGTTTTTCGTTCAGAGAATCTGCTGCTGGCAACATTCCACCAAAACACTTTTTACTCACAATGTCCTCGCGCATGTAAATTTTCCAAAGATTTATTGCAGGATTTCAAGCATTGTGCGACGAACTATATAAACCATTCAGCGGTGAAAATATATGACTTACTTGATGTCACTAACAATTCCCCTGCTATAAATCTGCCCATGCAAATTTCATTTCAGAATAATTTGTTTTCATCTTGTAATGGATCAAATTGGAAAATCTTAATTTTTATAGATGTTGATGGAAATTAGGATGGTAAAATTTTTGAACTAATTTTAGTTACATTCAAAAGTTCTGAGTTCTGAATATAAGTGAAAATTGATGCAATATACTTAATATCAAAGTATCTATTCTTTTTTCCAAATTTAAAATTTTGTACCGTCAGAGAAGATTAAATAATCTGTACATTAAGTGAATGTATGGAAATATTCTTTTTGCTCATCAGTTAAATAAATGAAATATGAAACGGAGTAGAAGCGGCTGGAGTAAAAACTTTGAAGCATTAAATGTGCTTATTCTTAGCTTACTCATTATTTAAATTGTTATGATGTAAATTAAATAATTTTCTTTAAAATTTCTAGATGAATGATTTTAAGATTAACAGTGAATTTTAATAAAAAAATTGAAATTATGTTCAATTAATATTTTAAATTTTATATGATAAAAAGTAAAAACTTTCACTTATAATTAGATCAGAAAAATCTTTGAAGATGAAACTCTGGAGCTCAATTTTGCTCAACTGTTTCAAGCACCAAGTTAAGCGAGACTT